TTATCTAATTAGATTTTAAATAATTTTTTAATACGTTTATCAGGTCCATCAATTAAAATATATAGGCAGTTGATTTAATTTCATAGGTAGTGTATGAAATTAAGTGATTACTAGAAATGCAAAAATTTAGCAAATGTCTCTTTTGAATTGTAAATTTCATTGCATGAAAATAAGAATAATGACTATTTTCTATCTGATCCTTAGTTAGGATTATTATTATTAATATAATAATATTTTATAACTTTGTCTTCAGCAAAGTTCCACATCTCTATACACTACTTAGTAGCTATTCTGTATTTCTCACTCGAAGAATAAAAGCATTAAAATTTATGGCAATTTCAAGGTGTAACGATCGCACTAATATGACCGTGACTTATGTATTGGTAAAGAACCTTACCAAACAATTTAAGGCTCATTAGAGAAAATTAGCAGTGCATTAAGTAAGTTTCTTTCTTAGGAAAAATCTGACTAAAGGGGAAATTACACATTCACATGTTATTGTAGAATCAATTAAAACACTTAAAAATTAACCTTTTTGTAATTTAAATGAATTTTGTTATTGGTATCTTTGACATTTACATCTATTTATGGCCACTACCGTAACCTAAATTATAAAGGGGAGTTTAACGTAATCGAAGGACAGTTCAACGTCTAACAGTATAAATGGAATTGTCCCATCTAAGTAACTAAAGGCGTATAATTAAAACAGAAACATAAATGGTAAAATAGAAACATTTTCATTCCAATTTCAGAGAGGACTGATGTGGAAATCGAATGATCGCCCGAAAATTTTCACATTCGGTCAAGTTAAAATTTAAAAAAGAGAAAAGCATTGCATTTCATAGCTCTATCCTTGAACATTCACCAAATATTCAATTAGCCTTGTTATAAATTGTCATGGGTCCGATCAGTGCAAATATTGTGGATTCCTTGAATCCCCGATATTTGCTCGAAAAGGTAAAGGAATTGCAGTAAATGCACTTGACAAGGCTAATGCGATATTTGATGAATTTCAAAGGGCGACCAAATTCCGTTTGTTCTGTTAGGAAAGTTTTATTTAAAAGGTAAAGTGTGTCCTATTTTTAAAATTCAGTTGAAAGTAAAGATATCCCAATCAGAACATTTTCTCCAATGCCAATGTCGACCAAAAAACCACGATAGTAGGTTCTAGGTAGGTGAAATAATGCATTTTTACTTTCCTCCACCTTGGTGCTGCGGTCTTATTGAAACCAGCAGTCCATATTTCCAGTCATGAATACTCGTTATGCTAAAACGTAATGTAATCATACAAAACATGATCTAAATTGCATTCGTTTTAACCGCATTTTAACAAACTAAAAAAAGGCCTACGTATTACTTCAGAAAGCGCTTTTACAGGAAATTCAATTTTCTCAAAACAGTAAGTTGGTATCGAAATGGGGGTAGGTACTTTATCACGGAAATGAGATCAATTCAGCCTTATAGTTTAGATGCCTTTTTTAATTACAATATACAGGGCCATTCTTGACGAGCGTCAGTTAGAAAGAAATGGAGAACTTTTGAAAATGAAACTAAACTGATAAGACCTTTAAGGGTTTTGGCACATGATGAATTGCACTAAAATATTTTCAAGTTGGCGCCACTTCCGCAAATACCGGAAAAATTTAAAAGTTGAGAGCTGTGACAAAGTGACGTAGTCTCACTTTTTAAGACGGTTGCGCATACCATAAGAAAATTAGATCTTTCCTTAATAAAGCAGTGAAAACCGTTTAGCAGTATCTCTCACAGTTTTCGAATAATAAATTTTTAAAATTTCCCCTGCAAATTCAATTTTTGACATAGAAACTTGAATATCGTCGAAGCCCTTGGAGCACAGGGTCAACTATGGGGTATCGTTGTACTCCAAATTCGACGTAGAATCCAAAAATGTAGAAAAAATAGGGGGCCCTATTTAAAATAACAACGTTGATGGCTACTTCCGGTATTTGCGGGAGTGGCGCCATCTTGAAAAAATTTATTTCAATTCATCATGTGCCAAAACCCTTAAAGGACTTATCAGTTTAGTTTCATTTTCAAACGTTCTCCAGATCTTTCTAACTGACACTCATCAAGAATGATCCTGTAGAGTGATACACATAAATAGCTATTCAAATAGACTATAATAGGTGACGTGGAAATTGCAACATTAAGAAAGCGTATTGGGGTTTTCGACCGAAACGCTGATCAACTGTCAATGGCTTATCTGTCATTGTTTTTGTTTTTATCAGGTATCTTGCGAGTTTTGTGGACGGTTATCATTAGTTCAATAATAGGGTACATGACAGTGGAAATAGTACATTATATATCAAGGTAGAGAAGTCCACTATTATTGCCTGAGCACCAAGATTACATCTCGAGGCGCTTGCGCCGAGGGGGGTAAGGTGCGAAGGCAATAATAGACTTCTCTACCGTGGTATATATACTATTTTTTTCACTACTAGCACTTGAAATCCTCTAAATTAACATATTATATTGATAAGAGAGTTAACGGTTGGACAGAATTGTTTGTTTCTTAATTTAACATGTCAATCAAGTACGTAGAAGTACAAGTCAAACAGGCCGTATTTTGTTCTGTCATTGAGATTTTTCAAAGAGTAATTTCGTTCGAATTTTTTCAAAATGTGATAATTTTAGGTATGTAATTTCTCTGGAAATTGCGAATGGTGGCAATTATTCGTTTTAGAGAACTTGTCTAAACGTTCATTGAGCGAAATTTCGGGTTGTGTTTTCTAAAAGTGACAACGTGACAGTTCTCATTATTGACTACTAGTTAATAATAAAAAATTATTAACCACTTTGAACAAATGCCGAGAAAGCCTACTTTACAAGTGGAAAAAAGGTTAATAATCATGTCATCAGACGCTAGTAGTGAAAAAAAGAATAAATAAATTTCTGTTTCATAAGATAGAGTAAGGTGTCAGGGTATCCCAAAATAACTTTCTTTGGTAATGTACACGAGAAACTATTATATTTTAGTAAAACTAAAATTAAAAAATAACGACATTTGTCACGTGATATCAAACGCCAATCAGAGCGCGTGACGTCATTATCCTAATCCTCTGTGCGTTTATAGAGTTTGTCTACGTTTTTAATTTAGTGCTTGTTCCTTTTATAGTGATTATATTATCCTAAAGTTTAGTTTTTAAAACCAGATAAGAATGGAAAGTGGGTATACGAATGCTGATAGCAGCAAATCTGCCAAACATTGATGAAATGATGTTGGGAATATTTCTTGCATCAAACACAGATTTTTGTTCATCAGAAAACTGCCATAAGTCTTGTAGGTTTTTAAGTTAAGCTTAGATTTTTTACAAGAAATGTAGTTATTTAAAAGGAATGTGTACTTAAGATGCTTTGTTTTTAGGTCATCGAAGCTATCATATGGAGATCATTCAGTAAGCTATGTCCACTTTAAGAGTTTTCTGTTACGAACATTTAAAAAGAATAAAGATAAAGGTGTAAATTTAAAAAGTAGTTCTTAAAACAAATTTGTTAGAGAAACAGTCTTTATGGCCGGCACTCTTATAGAACCTTACATTGGGTGCAGTCGAACAGAAGACTCTTAAGCGTGATGGCACCTTATTCACAGTTAAGTCAAAATTTGCCCGCAACATACGGTTCACGCAAAGCTGTATGCAGTTTCCTTAGTTGTCGACGAAGAAAACAATTATTTTCTTTGCCCTACCATCAAGCTACTTTTACAACCCCTCAGAGTCCAAAGGAGTACTAGTGTCGATAAAGTCTCCTTTATCACATTTAACAAGTCATGATCTAGTCCGATTATTCGAAACTCTATCGGCAAATGGCTCAATAGAATTCGGAAGGTGTCCAAATTGTCGTCTACAGCACGCCTCAGGAGTTAACGTGCGTGAAAGATGTGGTACTCATGTCGATATAGTTTTCTATATTACGTTTAATGAGCAATCGTCGAAAACCCTTTTGGATTTCTCTACTCCATGAAGCATTTGAATGATACAGCATCTTTGGAACTAGATTTACCCGCCTGGGATATTTAGCTGTGCCACAGAAAAATGTGACTACTGAGCCCTACACCACGACAAAGTGTACTCCATGGTAGAGCACCACTTACGGTAGTTATAATTCATCACGAAATCTTTTAAACCATTTACGCTGGAGTTATGCGTTTATAATTGTCAGGACTGTGACGTCACAGACACCGCCATGACACAAAACAGCGTTTTGGCGCTAGAATAAAAATCTACAATTTAAATTGCATAAATTTGCATTTGCATTTATTTTGCTGAAATATCATATTTTAAAGTTATAGTAGAGGTATACGAACAGTTATAACTGGTTTAAAAAAATTTGTCATCTACCCTATTCTTTATCATTAACCATGAAATCACTAAATGACCAATAGAAACAAAGGTTCCTACGCATACGATTTTTATGTGTGCCTCGCTAACTTCAATTGCTAATCTTGCGTTCTACCATTGTATAAAAATATCACTGTTGTTTTAGTTAATTGAAATAGGCAAAAATATATCACTTACCTGTCGTCGTTCAATTGCTATTTTTTTCTTTTTTTCTTTTCTGATACAAGGAGAATATGGCGAGGGAAAGGAAGAAAACAGGATGGAGAAGATTTAATTGATTGACAGATAATCGAATGCCCAACACTACCAATGACGACGCCAAAAGACCAAAAAACACCTCACACGCAATAGAACTTTACCAACAATAACTATTGAATTGAAAAATGTTATCAATAATGTATCACAATTTTCCAAACTAAAAATTAAATCAACGTATGCCTGCTCCATCTACACAAAAATAAAAATAATACTATTTGAAACTGAAATTTAATCATCGGCTTCAACATTCCCCCCGGGATGAAGGATGCATTCAGGCTTCAGAAAGCTACACAAAATAACCCTAAAGTTCATGAGACAAATTAATGAAATATCCAAAATTAATATCCAATTAAATTTAACGTTAACTAATAAAAAAAATAAAAAAAACTATTGTGAAGGCAAGGGGCAAACCTTAATAACTGGTCTGCGATAAGTACCATATTTGGTACGGACGTCTACAACTCGTACGACTTGATCTTTTCCAGGATACACCTTTTCTATAATCCCTAAGGGCCATTGCAATGGTGGAGTATTTGGCTGTTCTACTACAACAATGGTTCCAATTTGCACGGGGTTATGTTCTGTGTTCCATTGCGATCGTACCTGTAGAGTTGTGAGGTATTCTAATTTCCACCTTTTCCAAAAATCGTGTATCATCCGATCGATGAGTTGAAAGCGATCTAATCTGCTAATATTAATATTACTATAGTCGTATGCCGGAAAATGCGTCAAAGGGCCTAAGGTTAAAAAATGCGCTGGAGTCAAAATGGTGGGTTCAGACGGATCAGAACTAAGAACGCATAGAGGCCGAGAGTTCAGTACACATTCAATTTGGACTAATAGAGTATTGAATTCCTCATACGTTAGTAGCTGATTGTGTACGATTTTATTTAAATGGGTTTTTACGGATCTCACGTTTGCTTCCCACTGACAGTCCACCCATATGTGGTGCTGAGGGCGGTATCAATTTCCACTGAATTTCCCGTTTAGCTAATTCATTTCGGACAGCATCATTATATTCTGGAGATAAGACGAATTTGTATAGTTCGTTTAAACAAGCCCTAGCGCCTATAAAATTGGTCCCATTGTCGGAGTGCATTTCAATAACGACTCCTCTTCTACTAAGAAACCGCTTAAATGCTTGAAGAAAATGATCTGTAGATAAGCTAGTGACTAATTCCAAATGGACTGCCTTCGTTGCCATACAGACAAATAAACAGATGTAGGCTTTAATTGGGCGAACACCTCTTCGTCGATAGGGAATGATCGAAATTGGGCCAGCATAATCACAACCGGTATGAAGAAAAGCCTTTGCTTGTCGCACCCTACAGGCAGGTAAGTCTCCCATAATGGGAATTTGGGGTTTGGGTTTTAAACGAAAACAGGTGTTACAATTTTGAATTCTGCGTCTAATAATACCACGAGCGGCAAGTATCCAATATCGCTGTCGTAGCAAAGATAGCACTAAATGAGGTCCCGTATGTAAGTTCAACTGGTGATAATGATCGATGAGAAGATCTACTAAGTGCTCTCTTTTGGGAAGTAAAATAGGGTGTTGCACATCAAACTTAAAGTCTGAATTACTAAGCCTACCACCAACTCTAATAAGATTGTCATTCAGAAACGGTCGCAAGTGTCGTAAGGATGGTGGTAGAATCCCCTTTGTGAGCAAGGCGAATTCAGATGAGAAATGCTTGCGTTGTATCAATTTGATAAGCGCTAATTCTGCAGTACGTAAATCTGAGACGGATATACTATTTTTATTAGGTAATTGTCGAAGGAATCTAAGAATGTAAACTACTATGCGTAACAATTTCATCCATTTCGAGCAACGTGCTATTAAAGAATAAAATGGATTTTCCTGGCCTTGAGAAGCCACCAGGGACAGTTTCATTTCTGATTGATTTTCTTTTGCGTGGACTGTACGAATGGGCCATTTCGAAACATCCATTTTTAGCCATTCCGGTCCACTCGCCCAACATCGATTATTGATGAATTGGTAAGGAGTCAAACCTCTAGATAGACAATCACTTATATTATCTTTACCGTCTACATGATACCACGAGGAGTGGTCTAGTTGAGAACGAATTTGAACAACCCTATTTGCTATGAAAATTGGCAATTTCGAGGGACAAGTAGCAATCCAGCTAAGGGCGACTGAAGAGTCAGACAAAGCGTAAAGTTTGCGAATATCTAAACGAGATTGGTAACTATCTACTATAAAATGGAGAAGCTTAGCAAGCAGATGGGCTGCACAAAGTTCTAGTTTCGGTATGGTAACAACCTTTACAGGGGACACCTTTGTCTTAGCAACGAGAAGATGTCCTTGAGTTCTATCTCCCATACTAACAAGATATACTACTGCCCCATATGAGGTTAAACACGCATCTGCAAACCCAACTATGACTACAGGCTGATTCAAAGTAACGCCGATATAACGAGGTATCTTAAATTCTAAGATGGCAATTGAGAGTTTATTAAATCCCATCGCTGGGTTATACTGGGAGGACATGGTGTGTCCCAATCTAATTGTAGAGTCCAACATTCTTTGACCAGGAGCTTCAGTAACAAAGTTACCGGTGCAAGGAATCCTAGAGGGTCATAACATCTTGCAATTGTGGACAGGATATTCCGTTTTGTACACGCTCGACTCATTATGGTGAAAGAGAATGACAAAAAGTCGGAGGTGGGATTCCACTCTAAACCTAAAACCTTAAGGCTATCATTCTCAAAGTATATGGGACTAGTAATACTATCTTCTGTAGGAATATATTCGCGCAAAGCTGAAGAATTTGTGGCCCACTTTAGTAATTGAAATCCACCTCTACTGAATAATTCCTTTAACTCCGAATATAATTTTATGGCTACGCTTGGTGAAGGTATGCTCGTCACAAGATCGTCCACGTACATATCTCTTCGCACTATTTGGGACGCTAGTGGAAAAGACGATTCTTCATCATTTGCGAGCTGACGCAGAGTTCTAAGGGCTAAAAAGGGGGAGCATTTAACTCCAAAGGTTACCGTATTTAATCTATAAACTTCTATTGGTTCCAGTGGCGAAAACCTCCAAAGTATCTTCTGGAAATTCCGATGATCCGTGCGAATGTCAATTTGTCGGTACATTTGCCGAATGTCAGCAGAGAGAGCAACTTGAAACAGCCTAAAATTTAGCAACATTGTACAGATGTCCGATTGAACTTTAGGCCCAGTGAATAAAATATCATTTAAGGAATAAAGCGACGTCGTTTTACACGAAGCGTCGAAAACAATACGGACGGGCGTTGTGCTAGACCCAGGTTTAAAGATGGCGTGATGAGGTATAAAATAGTTTGGCTCTATGGGTGAATGTTCCATTACTTTAGACATATGACCTTGTGTTAGATAATCTTGAATAATACTCGAGTACTGTATCCTAAGAGTCTCATCCTTTTCCAATCTTTTTTCAAGGGATAAAAATCTACGGTGGGTAGTGGCGTACGAATCACCTAAAAAGGAACTATCTATTTGAAAGGGCAAAGCTACGGTGTAGCGACCGTTCGCTTCCCGTTTATAAGTTGATTTAAAGAAGTTTTCACACTCTATATCTTCCGGATTTTCAAATGTTAAAGCGGGTACATCTTCAAGCTCCCAAAATCGCTTTAATAATGTTTCAAGCGAGGAATCCGTAGTAAGGAAAAAACTATGTAAATTATCAATTGGGGAAACCACAGGTGCGCATCCCATTAGTACATATCCAAGTTTTGTTTCTATGGCTAACTGGGTATTCGGAGGACCAGTAATGCGTTGACTACCGAGCAATTGGGCAAATAAATGAGCCCCAATGATTCCATCAACTTTGCCTGGAACATGAAACTCATCGTCTGCTAATGGAACCTTCTTTATATAGGTGAGAACACTTAGATCGACTTGAGATGTGGGTAGTTGATCAGCAATTTTGTCGACGACGAGCACGTCCAGCGTAAACCGTTGGGCTGCATTAAATTTGGAAATGCAAACTGTGCTGGCCCGGCCATGTACGAAGCTTCGATTAGACCCAATTCCGAGAACTGTAGTCTGACAAATAGAGGGGCGTAATTTTAAACGACGACTAAATTCTAAAGTTAAGAAATTGGCGTGACTGCCACTATCCATTAAAAATCTACCTTCGTGCAAATTCCCAAAGACGTCTAATACGTTAACTTTGGCCGTAGAAAGTAACACCGTACTATTACAAATATCGTTATTAGGGGTGATTGAATAACAGTTCAAGGAAGAAGAATTAGCACTATCAGAGGAAGTTCCACTACCAATGGAGGAATGAGTGTTGCGAAGCGAACTATCTGTTATCGCAATTTCTAATTTACTATCGGAAGGTTTCGACTCGACTTGGCGTTGAAAATGTAGCAAGGTATGGTGTTTGAGATTGCAAATTCTACAACTATAATTGCTTTTGCAATTAATAATTTTATGAAAGGCTAAGCAATTTAAACATAAATTATTACTGCGTGTAATTTTGTAGCGTTCTTCGGGAGTCTTTTCTAAAAACTTCGGACAAGCTGTAAGACCATGAGCACTACTCTTACAAAATGCGCACTTTGGGGGCGAATTTTTCTGGGCGATAAACGTATGAGTTGGCTTATATCTGTTGCTCGGGGTGGAATTACCCTTTGCATGGCTATTAAACGTTTTTGTTTCTACACTACTAGTTCTTGAACAAATTTTTGCCTGCTCCTTTATAAAAATGATGATATCATTATAAGAGGGCATTTCCACATTTCTACGGGTATTTTCAAACAAGCGTTGTGTTTCTGGATTAAGTTTTTGAAGGGCTAAGTAGGCGAAAATATAATCTGCTAGGTCTGGTATTTCAATTTTGCGAAGTGCAGTTACGGCTGGATCAAATTTTTCTAGAAATGAATCTAATGACTGTACATTTTCTGTTGAACTCTGCTTGAACGTAAGTAATTGGTCTAAAAGAGAATTAGCTATAGAACGCTTATCTTCGTATTTATCTATAAGTGCATTGAGAATTATTCTATAGTTTTCTCCTGTAGGTGCGATACCTGAACACACCGAAAGGGCGTTATCTGTTAGACAACCAAGCAAATAATGAACGCGATTAACGTCACTTAAATCGGGATTATTATGGATCATACTATTATAACATTCTATAAACCTAGGCCATTCTTTACTATCCCCACTAAATTTAGGCAGAGGCATTTCGGGTAATTTGCGAATTGATTTACGGTCTTGACGCACCGTGGAAGCGGGTGTAGGACGGGTACTGTAACTATCGATAACCTTGATTGCTACATATTCTATACGACAAACTAAATCGTCAATGGTTTCTATAAGTTTAAAGTTAGGAACGAATTCTTCATCTAACTCGCATTGCAAAAGATTGATCTCGTCTACCACTGCTAATAATTTGGATTTGGTTTCTGATAATGATGCGTACCTCATCTTAAAATATGCAACTTTCTCAGTCGTTGAAATGTCCCTACTATTATCATACAAGCGTTGAAGACCAGCGAAATATTGCTCCTTTTTTGCGTTCAAAATCTTTAAGCGCTGTTCTTTTTGTGTAGCCATCGTTAACCACAAAAACACCAATCTATACCAGATAGAATGTCAAGCTCAAAACTATAAATTGACGCGTATCAAAACAAATTCTATAACATAAATGGAATAGGCAAACCAGATTGAAGAAACTGAATGTTATCTTCAATTGCAGAGAAACGTTATCTCGAATCTAACCCAATGAAATTTACTATGAAATATTGCGTGTGAGAATATCTAATACTATATAAAAAAGAAAATCCGGTTCGATTTGGACCAAATGTTTTAGTTAATTGAAATAGGCAAAAATATATCACTTACCTGTCGTCGTTCAATTGCTATTTTTTTCTTTTTTTCTTTTCTGATACAAGGAGAATATGGCGAGGGAAAGGAAGAAAACAGGATGGAGAAGATTTAATTAATTGACAGATAAGCGAATGTCCAACACTACCAATGACGACGCCAAAAGACCAAAGACACCTCACACGCAATACAACTTTACCAACAACAACTATTGAATTGCAAAATGTTATCAATAATGTAACAATTTTCCAAACTAAAAATTAAATCAACGTATGCCTGCTCCATCTACACAAAAATAAAAATAATACTATTTGAAACTGAAATTTAATCATCGGCTTCAACAACTGTGTATACAAGGTCGCTATTAAACATGGAACTAAGGCTCTCACGTTCAAACCGTTGGAGATTTTGTTGAAATTTTTTTTGTACACATAGTTTTTGCGAGCGCCTTCTTGAATTTACGCCATTAGAAAGCTTATTTTATTCCCTTTTTTACTATCTCAAAATGTATAGTGTTAAATTAGTTGGTAAGATTGTAAGCAACATTCCATCTTCAATTTCTTAAGAGGTTATGTTATTTTTCCACTATTTAATAAACGTTAAAAAATTATGTTTCTAGTTATACCAAAATGCAGTAAGTATCTTTACATGTTTTACATAATTAATGCGTACATTCAGATGTACCTTCCCCTTTAGAGTGATGAGGCGATCGAAGCTAGTCACCAGCTGATATACAAAAGGCGTTTAAAGTTAATCGGTGGTCGCTAACAAAGAGGCAGTCTATGGAAGATGCGAAAGATGTCCCTTCCCCTTTCGACTGATAAGGTTTCCGCTCTCGGCGATCGATACAGAAAAGGTGATCCTTGCCAGATGCAAAATACAACCATCTCTCCTTATTCTTTTCTAAGGCATTCAAGTTCAAATTAGTACTGTATATTATACCTATTAGACTACTTTTATTACATTAACTGTTAATATACACGTTAAACTTACCATATTTCAATTTAGTAGAGAAAGAACTCAACAAGACCTTTTACAAATGTTAAGTATGTACCGCAAATCAAAAGCATTGAATCATGGTCGTGGTTATTTTTGGTTCTCGGTTAATTATGAAACGCAGTCTCGTCAAACCTGTCTTACCTAAAAAAGTATAATGAGGGTTAATAATGGGCACAATAACCACATTTGACATCCGTATATATCCTTAAGACATCATTATAAAATATGGATATAATTAATTTTACTCCTTACATTCATTATAACATTGTAAAATTACATTAATATCTATAAAAACCATGAATTTGTTTGACGTCTTTCACCATGTTGTTTTTAACCGGGCAAAACCCCCGGTTTTATCATTGTTAGTTTGGTAGCAATCCGACAGAACCAAATTCAACGAACCGTGTTCCATAAAAGAAAAAAAATCGAGGATTTGTGGAACGGATAACCGTAACCGTGGTCGGTTTTTTCGATTTATGGTATGTACTAATTAAACGATCACATTTTTCAGTTTTACCAACTTAACAATGACTAAATATAAATAACATTTCGACGAAATGAAGTGAACTTTTAACTAAGATTGTGCAGAATGTTGCGCTCAAATTTTAGTCGTGTCTAAAATAGAACATTTAAAATTACTGGCAGCTTACCTTCATTATTATTTTCACCAAAAATTTTCATCAAAATTCAACTTTTGTACTACTGTAAACTACAGTGACTGTATTAGGGTAGTGGCGACAACTTATAATCCGCCATATTGGGGCTAAAATATTGTTTGGTTTTAAGGTCATCTCAAATTGTGATCGTAGGTAAATTTAAAGATTCTCGTTCAGAACTAACCGTAAAGATATATTGAAAACGGTATAATAAGTATACAAAATATGGTGCAATATCAAAAATGTTCATCATTAACCATTAACTTGCGTTTGACATTTTAGTGGTCTGTCACTGTTTGTCCCTCGTCGCGTTTTTTCCTTACTGTCTAAAAAGTGTCATTTTAATTTAATTGGAAGACAAAACGCAGATTTAATCCACGGAGTACAAAAAAAGCAATATTCGTTGTGCTTCAGCAATCATCAATGCCAACATGTAAACCTATTCAAGCGTATTTATGATCACAATTGAGCAGCATAATCATCTTTTCGTAATTAATCCCTATTGACTTTAAACACACCAAACTATGTCTACATATATAGAACCGAATGTCCACAATACACATTTTACCTTAAGCAGCACCTTTATTCACAGAATTTCTAAAGAACAAAAAAGTATAAAACTCCTATACCAAAGTATAGCAATTTAGCCCCAATATGGCCACCGGACCCAATGACCAATCAAAATCAGTATTAACTTCATAAATTCAAATTAATCGGAGCACTCTCATGTGTAGTGTATCAATAGTCATACTTGAGGTTGTAACCGTTCCTTTAACCGAGACCCTTTAAGCCCCACGATCGTTTGCCCCAGTGGATAGTTTTATTTTGGATTATTATAGAAAAAGGGCATATTATAGTTTTTTTTTTTTGCGACAACCAGAGTAATTTATGTGCATCGATCGCGAGCGATATCTGTCAAAAAGGTGCCAGTTCATCAAAGGATTAAAGTGTATCATTACGATTAAAACTTTAAACGAGAGATTCTAAAGTTGTCGAGAACCATGTGAATTATTGTGTATTGTGTATTGTTATCAAAAGGAATCCCTGAATTTGTCGACCAATCTAATCAGCTTCTTATCTTGCCGAATCAAAAGGGATTCCATAAAAATTAATTGTAAGGAAACCAAGTTCAAAGGTCATCCATAGGATAATTTGTCAATATAGGTTGCGTTTCTATTCTATTTCAAATTATTGATCGATTTAGAGCTAATAAAAGAGATATAGCCACCTTGACTTCGATATTAATTATCCAAATTTATGGCAGGTAGAAATTTAGCAAATAAGCAATTCAATAGAAACCCAATGTAACAACTGAGATGCATCCTTAAAACACCTTTAATATTTTCCAATTTCTTTTTTATCAATTATTATAGTAATTTGTTATTTCGGTGTGATAATTTTGCTGAACAGTACAGTAAAAGAACCCCTTTTTGTAGACCAATTTCAGATAAAAGAAGGCGCACAAAAAGGTAAAGTTAATAGGGAACCGTAGAACTAGCCGCAGACATTTACCCTAATAATTTTTATAGTACAGTTTTCTGGTTGCAATTTCCAATTTAATAATAAACAGACGAAATTGGTAATCAATTATTTGCAACCGGAACCGTAACGCAATGTCTCTGAATTGCTCATTGTGGAACTGCTTGGTCCAACACGGAATCCCTCGAAAAACTTAAACCTTAGATGCACTTGATGGATCCGGGGACCGATAACGTATTTTCGAAAAAGGAAGCTCTACTCTGGATCACACTTGCCTGTCGGTGGTCCTAACCCGAGTCTCAAGCCCTACTGCCCCAATTTCTGCCGATTACTTCTATTTACTATTTTTAATAAACTGACGCCCAATTCAGGATGTACACAGAGCCATCATTCTTATTTAAATGTACTCTTGCCTTTTAAGGAAATTTTTCGAAAAAAAAATGTCCCTTATGTGATGGTTTTATCCGTCTGTCCGTCTATTCCTCGTCTAGCTCGAGAACCAAAAGAGCCAAACTTTCAGTCTACCCATAACATATTCAACCTGCTTGCACCACTTCAAGTTTTCGTCGACATTCAATTTAGTAACTTCAGTTTGTTGAATGAATGTGATTGTTTTTGTCATTGACGAAAACTAAAAAGGTCAAGGAGCCAAGCCCATAGCGTGTTTTGCTTTCGATAGTAAACAATGGTCAAAACTCAATTTTTTGGATACACATTACATACTGCACATTCCATCGATACAAAAAGAACAGATTCGGCCTATTTTGTATTAAATTCATTTTATTTAAACTACCCTATTTAATTATTTAATGATGCCCATAGCCCCCATGACCATGCTCGTATCCATGGCCGTGGCCGTGCCCATGTTCAGATTCATGACCATGACCATGACCATGTTCATATTCATGACCATGTCCGTGTCCATGTTCATACTCATGACCATGTTCATGCCCATGCCCATGTCCATGTCCGTGTCCATGTTCATATTCGTGTCCATGTCCATGCCCATAGCCCTGTCCGTAATGATCAGGATTAGCCATTGAAACGCTAATGAGAAGTGCCAAAACGAAGTATAAAAGCACCTACAAAACAGCATTATAACATTGTAGAAAAATAAATAACGCAAAACCAACCTTGAAAACCATTTTGTCTATACGTAAAGAAGCTCAAACTTGTTTGTTAAAGTACGAGAACAGACTAAATAAGATTAACTTCTTCATTGCGTATTTATACCGAAAAACGAGTCAAGAACCTTGTAGTTAGATAGCATCACATCAATTATTTTGAATTATTAGTTAATTAGCAAGCCTACGAATGTTTGTATTTCTAAAAAATGACAATATACATTAATATAGGGCGACATATAGCGTTGAAAACCTGATAAACGTGAAATTCAGTAAAAAGTATTGAAAACAACAATAATTCGTACATTTATTTTAATGTGAATGATGCATATACTTATTTCTTATTAGAGCTAACACGCTACAAGACCAATAAAAATAACTAATTATGTGTTTGATCAAAATGAGCTACCATAAGAGAAATGAACAAACATTCACAAAAGCATACATTATCAGCTTTAAATATCATAGTCATACATAATTTATCAAAAACCAGTTTTAGTAATGCCAGTTTAATCGGAAACTATCTTGGTTATACTTTTGTATATATGTATATTGATTTTATAAACATTACAGTCTTTATTTAAAACATTCATTAACCAAATTTAGAACATCAGCAGAAAACTAGTTTAAAGTCATTTGAAGTTTCATCCCTAACGTAGCAGAATTTCGTAAAATTGCGTTTGGTTCATTTATCGAAGAATAAGAGATAACTACGGATCCGTATTTTTAGTGCACTTTCACTTTTAAAAAATAAAAAGTGCACTTTTTCTCTTTTGATGTTTTTCTGTCTGTCTGTCTGAGTCACAAAAGCTCTGGAACTACACCACTTATAGACTTTGTATTGGTGTCACTCGATCAGAAATTAAAAATTATTTCATGTTTGTATATCTCGTTAAGGCATGAAATATCCATAAGGGCTATTAAAATCGAAAAAATAAATTTTGAAAGTGCACTCTTCGCCTTTTGCTCACAAGCGGCTTAAAGAACTTTTTTGAGGGTTGCACCTTGTACTAGAGCTTTTGTGTGCTTAGAGATTCTATTGCAAAAATGGACGACAAGAGATTTTTACATACGTCATCTATATAGTGGTCCCATTTACGCTTTTGATTTTAATTTATGCCTAATGTTGTGGTATTTTGCTTTAGTCGATTCCATGTGTTGGGGAAAGTCAATTTTGATCTAGCTGTACCAAAAGAAACACATTTTGTCTTGTTTATATTTAGACATAGTTTATTAGCTTCCATCTATTCTAAAATAGTATTTGTGGTAAGATTTTGTTGAATATCGCTAGTTTTTGGACAGGTAATTAATATATTATTATCGTCCGCATATATAGGGATGTGGATGTTAGAGTTGTAAGTAAAAAAATTTAACAGATCGTTTACGTACATATACATATAACGAAAAGTGTTGGTCCCAATACACTCCCTTGAGAAACGCCAATTTCTACTTTCACTATATTTGATAGGACAATTTCGTTGTTTTCGGTTAGGTTCGGTTTAGTATCTATTCTCTAAATAGGAATGAAATGACTCTAAACACGTACTCCGTACACCGTATCTTTCCCGTTTTTTAATAACAAAATCTCTCGATTTTAGTTAAAATAAAACAAATGCCAAAAATGTCGAACCTCTCTATTGTAGAACAACATTTTAAAACTAAGTAAGCTTTTAATGTCTTTTTTGAAAAGTGTTAATCTGCTATCAATTGTTGTTTGTTACCGCGTTATAAAGACAACCTGCATACCTACTGCAAAGATTTGTTAAATTTAATGTGTTGACATTTTGCTAAGTATCTACATACATTGTCATCTTCTGGTATGTACCTAATCATGATTGTCGATTGAAGGAACTCTATGGTCTATAGCGTTCCATAAGACAATCTTCAAAAATTAGAATAGTACAATCTAATGTGCAGTGAGTACAATTGATTGCCTTTATTCGATATCTGTAAAAGACGTGGGGGCTAGGAATCAAAGTGACTCCCGAGATATGAGTGCAGTCAAACTGGACCCCGCGTTTCAATTCAAGGAAAACTGATTTTCCAGATCTGCACAAATTACAATTGAATCAGCACAATTTCGCACAGCCCTAGCACTATTTAAAAAGTTTCATTACACATTTGTTTTTTAATTCCGGGGGCTAACTTGGTGGAGCTCTAGTTTCGACCAGTGCATTAAAGTTAACGAATCAAAAAAACTTCAATTATACTTTAATTGTGAATTTAAATTCATCAATACTGCATTGAATTAGCCTTTTTAGATTTAAGTTATGACTTGTGAATTTATTTCCTTTTTTGTGCTAATTTGTTCAGATCTGTTCTTGAGATATTAAAGAAAATGGTGAAAAATCTTTTTACCATTTTCATGTACCTACTTACCTAATATGATTTTCTGTAGATGTTCAACTCAAATGTTTTTCTGTTTAATGTACTTTTTCACAGTACCTAATAGAGCATAATATTTAGTATATTTTAATCTTCTCGTGTTAAATTATTTTCCCATGATGGCCATTTTGTACAGTCACGACCAACTAGAGCTGCCTTTACAAAAAATGAAAGTTCGTAGGTATTATAATCCAAACATTACAACTATATGACATTAAATTTCGACTTTGGAATTTTTCCAAGAATGTTTGCGAGATACTTGATTAATCGTACATTTTTTCCAAGAAAAAAGAAGCGCGCGAAATCTCACCCTGTATAGTGATACCTTATGTAAATACGAGCAAAATTTATTTCCTTATTTTTCTCAATACGGATTTAATAATTTTTAATGAATGTTTATTTATATAGCAGATCATAATACGCGTCACACTTTCTGCAAAATGGTAATTTCCACCTCATTTTCGGGAGTGACTTACCACTAATTTGTTACTTAATGATCTATAAGCGTCAATATTTATTTAATGTGGAATGTCATGATTCATTAGAAATATGGAGATTTGTGGGTTTAATATAGAAGTAGGATTTTATTAATTTATAATGAACGCAAGCAAGGTCCTCGACTTGTTATTCAGTATAAATATTGGCCGAAGAGATTTTTTGTTCAAACTATTCTCGTTCTTTGAGAGCTACGCACTTTCTTTCACTATTCGCCATGTCTTTCAAGGTATTATTTTAATTGTTTTTTTTTTAATTTACAATGTTCTTTTCTACTTATAGGTGTGCTTGTACTTCGCTTTGGTCCTTTTAATTGGCGTAGCAATGGCGATCCCAGTTGCTGAACCTGGTCATTACGGACATGGTCACGGCCACTATGATCATCATAGTCATGGATACGGTCATGGGCACGGTCATGGATATGGACATGGATACGGTCATGGACATGGATACGGTGGGCACGGACATGGGTATGGTCACGGTCACGGATACGGACATCATTAGGCCGTTTGACAACTTAATGTAGTTAAGCAATGTAAATAATGTTAATATTAATCAAATCAAACTACTGTGTGAAGAGATTAGCTTCAAACAAATTTAACTTGTTTGTTTCACGTATAAATAAATAATAATGTACTTAAGCAATATTAGAAACGATATTTGCCTCATTATTGTGTCTTTTTGCCCTAACATGCAGACCTACATGTGGAATGGTACATGACGGTATTAGCATCGGTACTCAGTTTAATGCTGAATGGTAGTTCACAGCACAATTGACTCGTAAAATCTTTAAAAAGATCCAGCTGAAACGCACGCCGTGCCAAAAAGGTTATGGTGCAGGTGTGAAACATGCGTAAAACCGTACCTATATTGATTCCCTTGACATAGATAACAAATATAATACGTTAAGTGCCGGTCTTTTCATATCCCGATAAATTTATTCTGCAAATACGTACCTTGACATTATAACGAGTGCGTCATCTGTAGCATCAGTAATGGTATCCATGAGGTTTACCGGAGAAAAAAAGTGCAAAAACCGCAACTACTTGATTATTAACGTATCCTACAGTTGCTTCTTTCTTCTCTAAGGAAGTTTCATCAAGTGCTTGTAGATAAGTGAAGATTTCCACATCAACTTCTAAAATTTTCACCACATAATAAACTTCTTTAGTCGTTTTCTATTCACTGTTAGTGAATAATAGCTTTCTTTCCGAATGGTTCTACTACCATTATTGAACGCTGCACATTTTGTTCTAAAGATACTTTGCTGTTGATTTGGATCCAACGTTGTTTTTCTTGCGGATCAATCTGATGGATCATTTAATTTCTCCCCAGCTCTTCATCCCATCTTGTTTTAAGGGATAGCCTCAAACCATTAATACTGAGGAGGAATTATCATATAATACTATGAGTAGTCGAAGTATATTCGAATATTTTTGAGGTGCTATCATGAATGCTAGTTACGCCTATTAAAAAGCGTAACTAGCATAAGTGGAGCAGCACCTCAAAAATAATCTACAAATACTTCGACTACGATTGGTATTCGAAGGACTATTCAATGAATAAAAAAAAATTAAGCGTAATTGCTCACGCAAATGTATACGTAATAATCGCGACATTTCACTAGATGAAGTTTGACAAATGTCATTGTATAATCCAAATGGGCGCTCCCTTGCCTTTGTGTATGCCTCATATTGACAAATGACCTGGTGTGGTGATTCTTCCTCCTCGCCACAACACCTCCATAGCGGGCTGTCAATCAATCCCATTTTGCGCGGCAATTTTGTTAATACATCACGAATCCGCCGCAGTTTTTCTTTAACGCGTAACGATGATTCGTTCGGTCAGCACATTTAATTTCGTATTTGAAGAAAGTCTCTTTTATTTAGATTTGCAACTTTACACTTAAGAATTGCAAATTTCCACTTTGCTTTATCACATAATAGTAATCTTTTTGTGCATATTAAAATGCAACTTCTCCATTTAATAACTCAACGGAAAATTTAACATGACAACTTAACTTTTCCCGAACTGCCCTTGATGTTCGATACTATCGTTCGGAAAACAAAGCAACTACTTAAAATTTTTCATGCCGAATATCTAATGTCTGTCTTACTACCAATCCTAGACGATTTTAAAGGTCGTTAATCAATCCCAGTCTCTCCCAAAACAATTGACTCAAAAATTTCCACTTTGACTTTATCTAACCAATATAATACGAGTACTATATCCCAATTAAAACGGATGTAAACTGAGCCCCGGGCGCGACTGACGATTAGAAGCTAGTAAAATTTATAATTTATTATTAATTATTAAATGGTCCTTCGTCCGAATGGTAACAATATCCATCAAATACCCCGGAACGCATATCAATACATAAGAACGGTATAAGCTATTATTGTAAATATTAAACAATTACCATTGTTTTGTTGAAAAAAATACAGTCCACTATCAATTTAGGCTTATTTTACCAGAAGTACCTACTTAAAAAAAACAAAAGAACCTCTGCCCTTCGAAAGAAAGGCTCTTTTTTTCTATTTGCTAAAAATTTCACTCAAACGTAGTAAAAAAAAAAAAGGGAAATTATTAATCGGGTCAACTTATGAGCTTGGAAATGTCGAGGTGCGATGGTTTAATTTTCACAAATCAAGAGAGAGAAAGTGGCTCGAAAATGCACCGCCTTGGAGCCCTCGTCGGTTATGCTATCAGATTTTTGGTTTTTACATCAGTTAATTACAGTATACCAATAACAGTGGAAGTGACGGTAAATTAATTGTAATTACTGTACGGTACTTTTACCAAGGTTTTGGCGATTCTTATACGGTGGAGCTTCCTTGAACGCGAATTTTCGAATGGCGAAGTTTATAATGAGCTTGAGTTTCTGCAAAATTCTAAGAGAGTAAGATTCACTTGGGCAAGTTTCTCGATGGAGAATTTACGGGGTCGAATATTGTTTTAGCAAGTAAGGAAAGACCTTGGCATTACTAAATAGCAGTGATTTCAAAGCGAACTTTTTTTCCTTGGAAAAGGAAATCTCATGGGGCGAATTGTTCGAGGACGGTCGTTCCAAAGCGAATATTTCAGAAACAACTTTTCCTGAAATTAAGCTCTTTACCTTAGGACCAGCTTTTTTCACTTTTTTTAGTTAAAAAATTTGTTTTTCTATTTGTTCTAGGATGAATTTTGTTTTCGACTATCTTACCCTGGGGTTAGTTTGGCAACAGAATGAAAAATATTGAAATGTATTCCTAAAAATAAGGAAGATACGAGCATATTTGTGCTGAAAATGTAACAAAGTATCCCCGTTTTACCACCCATTAGAAAAATTTGTAACTGAAACATCGAAAGATTAGCATTGGTGAATGTAGCTTCTTTGAAGGTTGTAAGTGCATTTAATCAATGAAACCCAACTAATTTGTTGCACATTACCAAAGCAAGCTAAGTACTAGGCGGAGAAATTACCACCTTCACCGCGGAAGTTATTAGAAATCCAATGTGATTCTTTCAGCTCTTTCATGTTACTTTTGCATTTATTTGTCCCAGACATAAAAAGCATAAAAAATAAATCAGGAAAAGTAATGTTTTCATACTTCTTTTGCGTTTTATAAATGCTGCTCTACAGTATATGTTGACGTTGAAGAATACGCTGAGTAACTCCATGCCACAAAATAGTATCAATCATTGAAATTTGGATCATTTTACTTTACAAATTTGTTTCAGTTTTATGGATAGGTCCCTATGCACCTATCTTGTATATTGCATAATTTGTTTTACAGTTGCATCAGTCATAGGAAAGCACGTACTTATAATTAATTAGGATAAAAAGAACACACGGTTCATTTTGTATGTCAAATTTTGTCAATTTTTTACCGAATCCGACCGAAAGTGCCTCTTCCTCAGCCAATAGACAAGTTACCATTTACCTTAAAGCCACCTACGTAAAAAATAAGTTGTTTTTAGTTAAAAACATAATATAACAGTAATTTTATTTAATTTGCTGGTGCCTTATTACACCATAACTCATATTTTATTGCATTGGGATAATGCTTCATAATAAAAGAATAAAATTTTTAAATCACCCCACGAATGGTAATTTTCGGGCACCTTCCAGTAAACAATTTTTAATTTTTAGCCCCAGAATAGGTAGATTAGGGGCCGTTAATTTTGCACACTCAGCAGCGGCGTCGCGTAATTGTTTTTCCTCGCTATCTGAGCTAATGGTAGTGTAATAGACCTCGCTCCAATATTTGTAAATGTTATCAGCGTTAATTTCCCCGTTATCTTCCAAAATTTGCCTCTTCTTCAAATAGCACACGACGTATTCGCCAACAGCCTCATTCTCAGGTGGCGTTATTGAGTGAACTTCCTTCATAATATCGTCTATAATATCCATGTACTGCTTAAGACATTCAATTTCGGGTCCCAAAGCACCGTGATTGATCGGTTTCGAGTGCACCTAAAACAAGGGTGTGTTTGCATCTAATAATTGAAGAAAAGAATACCACTTACGGTTAACACGAAGATCAGAGCAATGCACAGTGGCCACTTCATTTTAGATTACAATTCAATCTGCGCTGCAGTGCTTGTTGTGCAGTGTTTTAAATGTGATTCCCCACAAACATAATCAAAAAGGGGACTTACTGAACAGATAAGACGTAGACCAATTTATTGCACGATAACAAGTTCTATTTGTTAACGACGCGTAATAATCGGCAATTTTTTTGAGGACGTAGATTCTCACACACAAAATCTGGTGATCCTGCATTAATTTGACAAAATAGTGAGATAATCCTGAAATCATGCTGGATTCAGCTCTTTGTGGGTCAAATACATGTTTATGTTTATCAATTTTCTTTAGATATACGGTCGTTACGTTTAATATGCTCAATAGCGAATCTGCTGTTTTTTAATTCACTCATCTTTGAGAGTGGGCTATCTACGAGGGTGCAGTTTGAGACTGATATCAGTGATCAACAAAGCATAGTAGGTCTTTTTGAAGTATCCATAACACGTTAATCGTGTTACGCCACTAGAAATTGCTAGGTGTTGTGGCCTCAAAATCGAAAAATCACACAAAAAAATTCGTGCTCTGGCTTTCATAATATTTGCCCACTTATCTTTTGCAATATAAAACTATTGCGCCATTTCACATACTATAAAACAGGGTGGAAAATGCTTTGACAAAATCTACTAAAATCACACACTTCCTAAAAATTGTTGTATATACTTATGTACTCTGACAGAAAACAGGCTGAACGATTAAAAACTCTTAAAGTCTGTTAAACGTAAAAAGTCTACTAAAAACTTTAAAAGGCTTTAAACGGCTCTAGAGACTCTGAGCGGCCTCTATATGAACCTTAAAAACTCCTACAAACCTTCAGAGGTTCTTAAGAGCTCATAAAATATCCTCAATGGTATTAAATGCTCTTTACGTTTTTTTGAAAATCCCGAACTCTTAAAGACTCAAAGACCTTCAAAGGTTCTCGACTTTTTAAATACTTCAAAAAGCTCTTATAGATCTTTTAAGATTTTTAGAAGCTCTTAAATGTTCGAATCTTAAAGACTACAGTGACAAAACTTCTCGCAAATTTATTCAAAAAATATGGTTCGGCAAAGAAATTCTAGAAAAAATTGTAAAGTGCGTCATTCAAAATTCGGTAAATATCATTAAAAAAACAGTTATACTCCTGTGTCTTAAAATAAGAAACTGGTTACCATAACAAGCAGACACATATTTAGTAAATCAAGTTTCTCTCTCTATAGTATCTGTAATTTAATGTAAGGTTGCCACTTCTTCCCATGAGTTTGCAGGGGGTCCCCTTGAAGGGTGGTTTACCCGTCGCAAGTAATTTGATCTGCCAGATACACGCCGATCTTAAACTACTTTTGAATTGAAAAGTTTACCTATTTTTCTAAATTTACATTTTTCTCTAAACGTAAGCATCAGAATGAAAATGTTAATTACAATAAACATGTTCCTTGATGAGATCTACAAAAAAGGCTTCTACACTTTTTGCGTCGGGTTCAAAATAAAGGCGCTAATTTTTGTAGGTTGTACAGGGTGTCCTATTAACCATGATCACAGGCTATATGATCTATGCAACCGTTAATTGCACAGCTTGAGGAAAGAGATTTTGTTAACAAAGCAGGCCCAGAGAAATCGCTGGTAATTATTTTCTAGGTTCTAGGTTTGCCACTAGAGAGCGTACGATTCATGTTTATTGGGTATATTTAAGGAAAAAAAAAGTGTACCTAACCATGAATCGCACGCCCTCTAACGGCAAAACTAGAAACTTTAAAATAAATTCAGCGATTTCTCTTGTCCTCTTTTGTTAACAAAATCATTTTCCCGAAGCTGTGCAATTAACGGTTCCATAGATATGACCTGCGGCCTTTATTCATAGGACACTCTGTACACAGAAAAAAAGGCTTTCGAATAATTTCATAAACATTTTGCGGTGCTATCTGAAAAAATGTTCGATGCCGTTGTGGCACTTCAAAGCTTTATTTTCAAAAATCTGGCTCGTTACTTTTCGTTTCTGTATGCCTAATACACGGTGTCCATTTTTCGAGTGCCACTATGGGGATCTCGTTTACCTGAAGAGATAGAGAGTTGGTTAAATAGGGGCAAAGTTGCGAATTTTCGGTGCTGAATAATAATCTGAAAAGAAATGAAAAATATCTTTAGTAGTTTTGAAAATACCGCAAAAAAACATTATTCAGACACGTTTTAATTTTTCGGGAAGAGTGCTTTGGAAAAACAAAACGTTCTTTTATCGTGAACCAAAGTTTGACAGTTTGATCCATCTGTCTGGTTGGAGCGTTGGCAGGGGACTAGTTGTGTTGAGATTTTCATCTGAATAGAATTGAACCTTCGTTTTGCAAGAAAATTATAATTCAAATTAGAACAAAATACTTAAAAATAAATAATATTTTCGCAATAATTCTAGCACAAACGTAAATTACACTACTTGAAATAAGTCAACCTTTTGTTCAAAACAAAAGAACGTTTTGTTTTTCCAAAACACTCTTCGCAGAAAATGAAAATTGTAATTTTAAGAAAAATGTGTTACTGAACCATACCATGTGTGATATATCGTAGTAAAGAGAAAAAAAGACGTAATCTCAAAATGTCAAAATCCAAAACGACGCCCATAAGAAAAATTAAAGTTGCCACTTGTTTCTCCGTCGTCTTTAAAGTTATTGAAAACGGGATGCCATATTCGAAATCTCCATTAAAAGGTGTCTATCTCTTAAGATATGCGAGATCCCCATAGTGGCACTCGAAAAATGGACACCGTGTATTCATATCTAAAATTTGAACAAAATCCGTCGAGCCGCTATCTCGGAAAATTGCCAGCGTCGACATTTGATGAAATATTGACATGTCCAAAAAACAATGATCGGTCAAGTTACGAAGCTAAGAATTGTATTCTATCAACTCGCATTCCTTTACTCAACTCACTATCGAGATCGGTTATATTTCTCGAGAAAAAAGTGCCTATTAGTAGAGTGCTCCGTGGCCGAAATTATGACTTCGTGGGGGTTTTGGTGTCACAAGCTGAAATTCACAAAAAATGAAAGGTCATCATAAATACTGATTCTAAATGTCAAGGCCGTCCAAAATCGGTCCTTGCAATAGGGCACAAAATGCGAAAAACGAGTTAAGCACATGTACAGAAAGAAGAAAAAATATCGAATTTTTTCGTATATAAATCAAAATGTTCTTTGTACAGTGAAAGTAATAAGAAATTATCAAACGTTTCGAATTACATTATGGGTCTTATTACGGAAGAATTAAACTGCAAACGCGATTATCTCAGTTCGATATCCCTAAAAATTTGACAAATTTTGAGCAACTTTTGCGTTTACATCGTATTATTTAATAAACGGAAGCCTAAATCAAAAAGTTTTACTCTTAAAAAAAGTTCCAAAGGCTCCGGAACTCCACCACTTACAGACTTGGTATTGGTGTCATTCGATCAGAAATTAAAAATTATTTCATGTTTGTATTCTCGTTAAGGCATGAAATGTCCATAAGGGCTATTTTTTATGAAACAACAAATTTGAAAATGCACTGTTCGCCTCTTGCTCACAAGCGGCTTAACGAATTTTTTTTTAAATCTTATTTTTTTAGTTTTTAAACAGTAGGCCATGAAGATCTTGTTTTATTTATTGTATGGCAACTAACGGGAGAAACATGTCATTTCAAAATTTTGAAAAATATGATGTTAAGTGTTTAAATATTTGTCACGAAAATGTAGAAGAGACGTTACTAATGCATCAAAATAGGAAAATATTGGTTTATCTTTGTTTATTAAAAATTTTGGAAAAGATGTTGCTTGTAATTTTACCCAGAGGTTCCAACTACAAGCATAAGCTAAGTCAAAACAAACGGATCTGGGACCCCTAAAATCATTACAACGTAATTCTTGATCACCTATTCCGCCGATCGCAGTCTTAATATCTTTTTTCCGAAACTACTTTTGAAACAACTACTTTCGTCTTTAAAAAGGGCGAAGAAAATGTGATTTTCCTCTTTAGTGAGGGAAGTAAAAACAATTGCTGCGTTAGTCTTAATAATGACATTTAAAATTGAAACATACCCGCATTATTGATGCATATGATCATTTTTCAATTTTGATTGTAGTTTCAGAAAAAGTTCTGTGTAAAAATTGAGAAGAAACTCCACTTTCTTCTCTAGTTGTACAAATAACTATTTAACTTTTCCAAGAATTAAGATGCGTGGAAAGCGATTCCAGTACCAAAAAGAAGCAGTTGAATCTTAGAGACTGGGGTATTTCTTCACACTAGACTTATTGTTTTGCACAGTAGTTGGAAAGAATGCAGAGTGAGTTAATTTTAATGGTGAATGCTTCGAAAAAGTTCTATTATTTTATTATATCTCGCATACATAAGGGCCAAGCCTTGTATTTCGTCACTACGTAGGTTGTAATAAGTCCTACCTAATCCTTTGTATATCAGCCGATTCTGATGACATTGTAAACACAAGTATAGACCACATTGATAATGGCAGAGAACAATAAATTAAGAGATTATCGAACTAAGTTCTTTGTTAAGCGTTGCAAAAATTATGATTTGTCATACTTTATAAACAATCGCAACAGTAAACATTCATTTAACAATATGCATACTATTGTTGTCACCTGTCTTTTGTTGATAAACAATCACGACAAGTGGTGGGTTTTTTTTGTTCAAATTACTGCAATACATATATGGTTTTATCGTTTGGTAATCATTGAAATATCCTCTACAGCTTATTTACTAATAGATATTTCTGGTAAAATATTTGCAAGATTGATAACACCTTACAAGGAAAATTAGACCTTATCTATTTATCCGATAAATGCAGTACTTTTTGAGCAATGGTTTTTTCCAGTCACATACAATCATATGTGATTCATACGTTGTCAATAACAATTAACAATCAATGCATTTCGATCCATGGTATAATTATAATACTTTTAGTACACACAGTTTTCGCCCCCTACAAAAATCATGGTTTCCTTGTAGGTCATCATCATAAATGAAATTGTGTCACCTGTTTATACTCGTAGATAAGTACGATATATCTTTGGTTTTCCCCTTTTGTTTAAAGCTCCCTATAAAGGCAAGCGATCGATGCAGGTGGCAATTTAGTGTTTTGATTACTTACATTGGAAAATGAAGTTACTGTGTGTTGCTTTCGCAGTCGTGCTTGGGGTAAGTTCCACTCCTTTCGTTTATCCGAATTTATCCGATTTTTAGGTGAGTTCCAAGTCGTTCCACGCAAACTTGGGACCAGAAATGGCTTGTCTCAAGGAGCAAAATCTTACATTGAAAGACGTCTTCCCATACGTGCACATCGTTTCGGACGTCAATAATGAGGTAGTGGGCCGCTATTTAGAATGCGTTTGGAAGAAATGGAACATTTTAACATCGAATGGCAACGTTAGCGGTGCCGATATTTACAAATACCTAACAAATATTTACCACAACGCCAATTTGACCGAGAATAACAAGCAAGAAATGAGAGATGCGTCTAATAAGTGCGCAAAAGTGACGGACCAGTCGGAATGGATTTTGGCAAATAAGGTCAAAAACTGTATAATTAAGGCGGTTAATGAAATGCCATTTTTAACCCAACCGAAACCACACAATTAAAACGTGTGTATATGTACATTTATAATCTGGACATGTTTTGTATTCTTTTAATATAGTATCAAGCCTATGATTTAAAATAAACGCATAAATACCATCTCGAACCCCGAAAGATTTGATGAATATGGACAGTTTTCTCTCAAAAGATTCGCCCCCAGAGCATCCATCGTGGGAAGGTGAATTCACCCCCTCTGGAATACTCATTACTCCAAGGGAAATACATGCATCCAGGTTCAGGAAAACTCCAATAATTAAATTCTATGGTTCCGTTTTACTTCTGTGACAAAAATCGCCCCAGTAATTTTGGCCCTAATCATTAGCTCTCGTAATTTTGCACCCGATCCCGAGCCCACCATTAACTCCTAGGATTCTTCCTCGGGGTTGTCACTCAAGAAAAATCAAGAACAAATAACTCTCCCGGGTTGATTTACTTATGTATGCGAGTCCTTTAAATGAAACCATTCATTAGAATACCAGGAGAGTGTACAACCCTCCCCCATACCCAATTCCAAACATTTCACCCGGCACTACTGCACTAGAGACGTATTATGTAGTTTGGCACAAATTGGTCATCGCATGTAAAATTTATGCAAATTTTACTTTCATAGAGAAATGATCCATGACATGGCCGTCTGGTATACCCTCAAGGTGTAGAAAAGTTCAGGACTTTTTAACAAATAAGTCAATCGTTTTATTGCTCACAATTATCACGGCTCTTCCTACACTCCGTTTTCTAACAGACGCGCAACGGTCCGGCTCGTTGACATTTATCATTTTCCCTCCGTGAGCACCCTCTTCCGACATTACGGTTTCGAGGTATTCACATTTGAAATTCTGCCCTCGTCCACATGTTTGATATAAGCGAATAGTTTGCTTTTGTTTGTAAGAGGTCGCATGAAAATTTTAAAAAGGTCGCACCACTTCTAAAACTGTATATAGTGGAGTTTTTGGACGCGCTAGTTGCAAATCTGATATTCGTTAAAAAAAACAAAATGGAGAATTCAATATGGCGGATAAAAATTACGAAAAATTGTTATTTGTAAAATGAATGTCGGTGTAGTGCAGCTTTTAACTTATACTTACGCATTCATTAATTATTGTGATTATAATTATTATTTTGAAAATTAATTATGAAATTGATTATTATAAAATAATTATATATCGTTTTAACAATTTTTGATTAATTATTTATGTTAAATATTGCTAACAATTAATGTTAATTATTATTACATGACATTATTTTGCTTTTTTTCACACTATTATCTTACTAACATTTAGAAAACGAAGATTAGATCACTCTACGACTTTCTATTTAATAAAGAGCAGGTAAAAATGCCGACTATTATGACTAGGGGATGATTAACGTATAAACGTGTTCTGTCAGCGGAATTTAATGTGCACCTACCAAACTATTAATTTAAAACTCCCCATAACGAAACTTTATTTTTTACTTTTGCCCAGCTTTTCGGGAATTGAGACCACTGTGTGTTGAAGCCATAAAAACTCCATAACCATATTGCCAGGTTGCGAGCCATCAGTTGCAGCATTGTCATCCGCATTTAAAAAAAAATATCGCCGGTCCAAAACCCGAACCAAACAGTGACCCTTCGGGGGTGCATTCTCCTGGATCACGTGCGGATTATTTGAACCCATTCAAATGAAAGTGCACCTCATTCTTCAAAAAATCCAAGACATTTACGAATTGAACTGGTCTGATTGACTCAGCGTCTCTGTCATATCAATCTTGTAGAGATAAGGAAGAAGGTCCTTGAACAGTGGTTTTAGGCGTAACTTTCCCACTCATTTTTTAAGCGCTCCATAATGTACTAGTACAATCGAAATAATCGTAAATGACAGCTGTACCAAATTTCAAAGTAAATTACTTAAAGAAATTGCATTAAATTTAAATCCGGCGCTCTAGTTGAAGCACCCTGTATTTGTTTGCACATGCTTATATGTTACACTATGTACAGGGTGATGTTTTTAAATGGACCATTTGAAGTATTTCAGGAACGGTTTGGAATTTTGATTCGGGACCCATTACCTTTTTTGAATAATCGATCAAAAGGAATCATCGAAAAATATTTTAAAGATGGCCGCTTTTCCGGTTGTATTTCGAATTCCTCATAAAAAATCAGTATGACTTTGTCAACTGACATTGTTTCGAAGTTATTTGACATTTTTGACATTTTTTCACAGTTTCAGAGGTTCAGTAAATTAGCCATATCACTTTTGTCTGACAACTTAGCAAAATGTTTTTTTCAAGAATGGACAGCTAAAAGTCCACACTATCAAATTTCTAATTTTCAAATGTGATTCGAAAATAATACGAATAAGCGTTCAAAATTGACAATATATTTCCTTCAGAAAGCTGATAACACCCATAATTTGTTCCTCGTCTTGCATCTCCTTTACGCTATCCCAGATTTGTGTGCCCAATCCTAATTCTCGTTATCTGATCCCTTCTTGTGTACTTTTGATTACATTTTTTAATGTCCTTTTTTATGATTTAATTCAAATACCAAAATAAATGATGGTTTATTCAAACAAATGGCAAAAATCAAAATTGTTTCCCCAATGGGATAGCGTAACATGCAAATATTCAAATGCCAAAATTATAAGTTACGTCACACACATAAATCTTAGTAACTTGGTTTTACGATTGAAATATACCAGTTTAACAAAACTCCAATTAAGAATGATTGAATAAATTGCGCACGTATAGGCCAAATGTAAGTAAACATAAAAAGGTAACACTTGCCTTAATCAAAGTTAATGTAAATTAGATGTCATCCAGAGATGTGAGCTCAGTTCACGGATTCAAAATAATCCTGCAAACAAAAGAAAACTCCCAAGCCGCAGAGCTCGGAATGCAATGAACTGAATAATGCCTGAAGGGCCTCGCCTTACTTATAGTAAACGTCTATCAGATGTAGGCTACTGACTCGGCCGACCTCTTCAGAATGAAGTGACGGGCTACCATTACATTCTCATGTAAAACTCACCCATTACTTAACAGAGTTCGCAAAGATAATAAATTTGTAATGAAGGTAATACATTAATTGAATGCGATAGCTTATAACTCTGAAGGGGGGCAAAAGAATGATCAATTATTACGCTTACGGAAGTTGTTTCATGGTTAACGACCGAATCCTTGATATCAAATCTGGTGCATGACTCCGTGACTCAATTTCAGTGTCTCCAAACCCAATTTGTACTGGTTCGTTAAAGTGGTAACAATTAAATTAGACTTGAACTTAATTAGAACTTGAAATATCAGCAAACCTAAAGAAAGAAGGTACACGTCAAGTAAATGCAAATGGCGTACTTACAAAGAAGAAGCAAAAAACGCCCCGATATCCTCCTTAGTATTAGAGTTAAGGGCAAAAATCCGTCGAAACAATATTACCGGAACCCCAAATTAAATTAATTTAATCGCCAAAAATTAATAACATATGGGACGCGGCAATTAAAATCTATTTTCAATGAAGTATAACCGGCAACGGTTCTCGACAGACAGAGGAAAATCACAAAATGAATGTGTGCAATCAATAATGACTAATCGCACCGCCGTAAGAATTGCGAGTTAAAATTGCGTGTTTAAAATTCCAAGGTTACGACTTTTACGAGGAAATATACCGTGAACTATAATAATACTTGATAAACCGTTACAGCCTTTTTGTCATCTTGGCCATTTATGAACCGAATTGCATGAAATTCAAACTGGGCATAGCCCGTACTATATAAAAACTATGTATCGTGTTGAATTCTACAAACAAAAAACTACTCTAAGAAAGATTTTCCCAAAATCAATTATGTATGTTTAATAATAAGAAAGTTATGGGGCATTAAAGAATTCGGCTAAATTCAATAAACGCCCTTCAGCGGCCAAACAATTAGAGATTCTGAATTCTGTTTGGGCCAGTGATTTTCTTTTCAAAATTGAGCTCCAGACACCTAGGTCCATTTTTTCTACCTCTTAAAATGTTTCCATACGAAACTGTCAAATTTGGACCACCCTGTATTACGTGTAATCCTTACACATTTTCTTCTCCGTTTTACGTATAAATATCGAAATTTATCTTCACTTCTGTAAAATTTTAATTTCGAAATGCACTTTCTTTACTAGAATGAAATTAAGTTTTTTGGTAGCTACTGAACTAAAACTTTTCTATTTTCAGGATTGTTGTATCAAACATAATTTCAGTTTCGTTTATTGTTATCGTTTTGAACAAAAAATGTTAAGTAGCTGTAGCTCAGTAAGAGCCACTTTAGAAGATGTTTAAACTATTTTTCTCATTTTTAGTCGTAGAAGTTCGTTGCTTTTACGCGCACACAATTTTTGTAACACTTTTCTGTGTCCTTAAGCAAAGGCCATTTGGATTAGAGTATACCTAGGAAAAAATTATTGACAATTAAACCGATTTAAGTCACGACAATAGATTAGAAAGAAAAAAATTAAAAACATTTCAAATATTTACCTACGTTATAGACTTAAAGCGAATAAAATTACCATTAGACAGAATTAATATCTCTCTTCAGGTGCTTATGAGTTTTGGGATTAAGGTCGCCCTGGCGTTGAAGGTAGTCGTGCGTTAGTCACGATTACATGACTCTACACATAGGTAATTGATGTTAAACAACATAACGCAATTAGTTTGTTTACGTCTTTTATATTAAAGGAAACGTTATTGGTGGTTTGAAATTTTTAGCAGTCTTAGCTCAGTTTCTGGCACCTCAACAATAAACAAGGTAGGTATTTATGAATGGAAGAATTAAATTTATGAATTAATAGGCAATTTGTTTGTTTACAATCCGGTTTTATACCGATCATCAGTTTTTTTAGTTACAACTTTTAGTATAAATTTTTGGATTAAAATATGGAATCCTTGTTAGTCTTGAATATTCAGTGAGTAAAGGTGTCAACGATGATGATGCTAAAGGTAACCTATTGTTGTGACCTTGATTACTTGTATATTGTGTTGTTATCTCCAGGTTTTTGCCATTGCAATCCTGACGGTGGTCCTTGTGGAGTCAAAACCAAGTCCAAAACCAGAGCCGGTTCCCGAAGCGGATTTTGGTTCAATTTCTTTTTCAGGTGGGAGATAAGAGATTAGTGCAGTTATTCCAATAAATTTCGATGCTTTTAGGTTCTTCTGAACACTTTGGGCACGGCGGATTTGGCGGATATGGTGGATATGGCGGGTATGGAGGATATGGTGGATATGGCGGATATCGAAGATATCGTCCATGGGGTGGTTACGGTTATGGATATCACTATGATTGATTTTCAAACTTATAGATATTAATTGTGCTTCAATGCTCAACTCATTAAATATAAACATAAATATAAACACAAATAAGTGAATATTAACATAAAATTCCGATAATCCTATACGCACAAATTTTTAAATTTCGAGTAACTTCCACTTGGCTGCATGCGTTTTGTTTAACCGTCCCTCTGACGATTGAGATCTCGGCACTGAAATCTCGGTTTTTGTAAACGTAAAAATAGTTCCCATATTAAAAATATAATCGAGACTAGAGATTTACCTGGTTGGTGTAAAATAAGTGTATGTAATTGCGACTATGCGAAATCTTTTTAAACAGAAACGCAATTTGGTAACCACAATGATTGCCAACACTTACCTATTGTTCAATTGGATCAGCGTATTTTTTTAAAAGAGAAATGGGGTTAATCAATGTGCTCAATCAGCTAAGGTCCTTTTCAATGTATCTAATACATTTCACTGCCATGTACCAATAAGTAAAACATAATTAGCAAGGTGCACATTTTTACTTTCTACGCATTACATAACATAATTATTGCGTAATCTGGTAACAATAAATATTTTGTTACTTTCTTGGTATTGTGTGAAGATTTCAGAGTACCTACCCATTGCTGCTGTTATAATGTTGAGTTTGAAGGTGAGTCAAATCAATTGCATCTGAGTATTCTAATAATATAAATGGCAGGTGCTGTTACTGCTTACGTTACTATGGCCACTGGTTGTTCCAAAACCAAATCCTCTCGCGGAGGCGTTAGCTCGACCTGACAGCAGTTCTTCAGAAGAACATCACCATCACCACAGTTATGAACACTACGAACATCATGGACAGCATGGACATCACGGTCGTAGGAATGGACATAGGCGAGGGCACGGCCACCGACGAAATCGAGGTGATTACGTCTATATGGAGAGAAATGGAGGATTTCTAATTTAAAGTCTTAAAATAGATGAATAGTATTTAAAATAAAATTGTTTTCTTACATTCTTATAAAAAAATTCATTTACCAAAAAAATAGTTACAAGCTCCGTTCATACACTTACTGGCATGCTTTACTTCTGTTTGGTTGAGTATAGTTTCGATTTTTAGAAATTATTTTCCCCAATTAAGTTGGTCCGTTACCTGAGTAAATCTCCAAATTTCTCGGGAAACATTTTTTCTTATTAATTTTGGGGCGTAGAATCCAAAACAATTTGTACTTTTTCGATTAGACTGTTCAATCAAAAGTTATAGACTAGAAACCAATTTCGAAAGAAAATTCAAAGGGCTGTAACTTTTGAACTAGTAGCCCAATCTTCGAACTGTTTGAAATTATGGGATCTACAGGGCACAATCTATAAGAAAAATTTTTTTTCCCGGTCGATCTGAGTCAATTTTTTTTTCGGAGCTCAAAAAAAGGCAGGCACCTTCCCTTTTTACCAAAAATCGACTACACCAAAATTTGTCGGGAAAACACTTTTTCTTATTAATTTTGGGGCGTAGAATCCAAAACAATTCGTACTTTTTCGATTAGACTTCTCAATCAAAAGTTATGGACTAGAAACCAATTTCGAAAGAAAATTCAAAGGGCCGTAACTTTTGAACTAGTAGCCCAATCTTCCAACTGTTTGAAATTATGGATTCTACAGGGCACATTCTATAAGAAAAATTTTTTTCCCGGTCGATCTGAGACAATTTTTTTTCGGGGCTCAAATATCTATAAAAAAAACCGTTCAACAACGAATTTGAAGGCAAATTCCCAGGAGACTGAAGATGAGGCAGCTGAGAAATTGGGGACATATAAACAGGAAACAGGAACAAAGACCATATCCTGCAGGTGACCTAGAATCTACGTGCCTCGGAATGAGAAGTGGGCCGGCTCTACTATAATTTAGCATTTATCGCCTATTTTGCGAATCGGTACTATTGCTACTTCTTTCCATTCTTCCGGTAGTCCCCTTCTTTTCCATATATCCTTTACTAAATTTCTCATCTTTTCTTTAATCCTATCTGTGCCAAAAACCCAAGCCTTATTTTCTATTTCCTCCCTCCCTGGCCCTGACCCTTTCTTCAGTCTCTTTAATTGCTGCTCAATTTCCTCCTACCTCGCACTGTGAATGTTGATCGATTAAGCTCAATTTTTGGAATTACGTTTTATATGGCTAAAGATATGCGCATATTGAATTTCATGCAATTCGGTTCACGGAGATGTCAAAAAGGCCTTCCTTATTGTTTGGGCTATATTGGCAATTCACAAACTCCGATCTACAAATTTGATAAAGAATCCATCTACAAAATTTTATCGTAATCGGTCGTTATCGTGATATCGTGTTAACGGACGGACAGACGCACACACACCTCAAAATTATAAACTCACTAGGATCTCGTTAATAAACCTCTAAAGGGGATCTAAAACAGCGACAGAGCATGGCCTCAGTGTGTTCCTACATGCAGTGGCGCATTTACCAGCAGGCTGAGTAGGCTGAGGCCTAGGGTGACAGATTTTAGGGGGCGGCAAATTTGGCCGAAACACTTTTGTCTTACAGAAATAAAATAAATCATTATTATACAGGGCGAGTTTTTTTTTAGTATCCACTATGCCCGGGATCTCGTATAGCGTAAAAGATACAACGTCGCTTAAATGGGCAAAGTTATGCAGAATTTTATACCGATTATTTTTCTTATTCATAGTTTCTTGTCCCACAAATTGTGAAGTTATGGCAAAAAACCGAAAAATGACATCAAAAAAGAATTTTAACAAATTCACAGTAATTATTTCTCATCTTTCAGATGGTGCTAAAATCAAATTTTCATGATGGGTTTCGAGTAAATCACATTCACTTTCTTATGGGCGCCATATTGGATTCTTAAACCCGATAGAGGAAAAAGCTAGGAAGCTTAAAAAAACCCACCCTATACTTATAAATTTCAGAAACGAGCAACAATTTCAATATTTTATTACTGTACAGGGTGGTTCAAATGCGTGGCTCACTATTTGTATCTCCGCAACGGTGAAAGAGACAATATAGGTCTTTGTGACTAAAGAACGCTTCTGAAATAGTTGAAAGATCTTTGAAAAATGACTATTCTGAATTTGAATCTGTTATCAGAATTTCCGTAGCACACTAGACGTAGAAGGTACAGGCTACTACTTTCTCATTTCTTATGGGTGCCATATTGAATTTTTATGGACTGAGATAGAGGACAAAAAAAAAGAAAAATGATGACGTTTCGCACTCTAAACTTTTCCATAAATTTACAAAAAGATTTTCAAAATCAAAAGTTTTACATTCACTTCTCAACAAAACATCCACGGGTAACTAGAGCTTGCTGAATCAACATGGCTATGATGGAGATGCATTCAAATGAATTTATTTTATTATCCTCTATCTCTTTCCGTAAAAATTCAATATGGCGTGTATAATAAAAAAGAAAGTAAGTAGTAGCTTGGACCTTCTACAGCTAGCGTGCTATGGAAATTCTGATAACATAATCAGATTTTTCGAGAAAAAATGTCCATAGAGGGTGTTAACGGGAATTGTCGCATTTTCGACCGTTTAAGCTAGGAAAAATGAAAACGAAATGTCACATTTTCATTTTGTCGGTGATATCTCCGTTATTTTCAAAGATTTTTCAAAAATTTCAAATGTGTTTTGTTAAACACAAAAACGCGACACTTTTCCCCTATTTAACCTACGTTGTATCATTGTATACGGGGTGGGCCGTTAGTGTGTGGGTGGACGATTGTGGGTTTATTAAAGCGCATATTTAAAATTCATTGGGGGGGAATGTTGAAGGACCCTTCAGACTACAACCTAAAAATATTTTCAACGAAATTGCAATTGTTATACAGGGTGATTTATATCAAAGTTGCATTTTTTAACGGAACCCTCTGTATATTATTACATATTTGGATTCCTTGGTCAATTTTAGTGACTTTATGTATGCACATGATATCTAAAAAGAGTCGTTTAGCCGCAATTCCTCGCTTTTTCAAAAAGTAAATGTCCAGTAAAAATTGAATATCGCAGTGATCATAAAACTTAGAAGACCGTGACTTTGCAGTGGCAATAATTTTTAAAATTTCAATCAGAGGTAACTTGATTTTTTTAAATGGAACAACGAAGTTTTTTTTATTGCATAAAATGTAAAATTATATTACCTTTCTAACTATACAGGGTGGTGACTTGCGCAACGCATCATAGGAATTTCAATGTAAAATTCATAACATGCGATTATTGGCTCCCCAAATTATTTTAGAGCAAAAATGTATTAAGGTTTTATGTAGAAACAAATTTTTTACGTCAATAAACCGTATTAGTTTTCAATTTTTTGCATAATAAAGACGGAAAATTGGAAAAATAAAACCCCCATCTTATCAATAATCTGTGATGCCATGGAATTTTCTAAAACAAAAAGATATCCAATTATCAATTAGCAGCCGTTCGAAATGGATTTTATGATCGACTTGGTTACTGTCTTGCATTTAATGGGGACTTATTCGAACATTTATTGTAAATTGTTGTATTAGGAAACCGTTTTTAGTAATTTGGTTTTTCTTTATGTTGAATTCGCTGTTCTAAATATAATACTTTTTGATAGAATTTGATTTGTTTTATAGCAGACATTCCATGGCATGACGGATATTGGCGTAGCTTTTCTATTATAAAATTCCATGGCATCACAGATTATTGAAAAGATGGGGGTTTTATTTTTCCAATTTTCCGTCTTTATTATGCAAAAAATTGAAAACTAATACGGTTTATTGACGTAAAAAATTTGTTTCTACAAAAAACCTTAATACATTCTTGCTCTAAAATAATTTGGGGAGCCAATAATCGCATGTTATGAATTTTACATTGAAATCCCTATGATGCGTTACGCAAGTCACCGCCCTGTATAAGCAGGTCCGTATGTATCTCTTACCGATTTTTTGTAATTCGACAATTTCTAATAATTCAATTTTTTGCAATTTTTAAAGCTTCTCAGGAATCAGTCGGCCGTTAAAAATTAAGAACACTAAATAAAATGATAGAACATTTACCCCCAACAAAACAAAACAAAAACTCTTGTTTGTGGCAGCCCATTTTAAAAGATAAAATAATGAATTTGCATTTATACCAATGCGTAAACTTATAAATAAATCAATTTGAATAGTAAGCCACGAAAGCGATATTAGAAAATATTAACACAAAATAAAATGAAATAACATCTGTCAGTTTAGTTTATTAGCATTTATAATTCTGTTGTTGATTGTTGTATTAGAAAAATGGAATTTCAATAACATAATTTAAACGGTGCTCTGTACTTTAAATTTTAGTACCTACTCTTTTTTGCTCTTCTTCAAAATGTTCTGGAGCACATCGCAGAAGAAATGTAATTTCAGCACGATGGTGTCCTACCTCATTTTGCTATAAACGTTAAAAAATGGCTGAATCAACAATTTCCTGGGAGGTATGGTCTTGAACATTTATTGAAATAATTGTTTTTCTCTTATTTTTATTTAAACTTTTTATTTTGATTTTTTTAAGTTTTTGTTTTATTTTATTTGGGAAAATTTTTTATAAATTCAATTGTTTATCATTTTTAACGGCCTATTAATTCCTGAGAAGCTTTGGAAGTCGAAAAACACTGTGAATTATTAGAAATTGTTCTTCCTTCACCATTCTCAATCAATAAACGCTCTGTAAAATATAGAAACTGACACATGACGATCCTCTAAGTTTACAACAATCATGCTAATAACGGGGAAAAGCTGATGTCATTAAGACGATAGTGCACAAATCATAAAATATTGCAATTTCATTATCAGAATAAGGATAATTAATATGATTGCGATTATAGAGAACCAGGGTGTAGAGTTCCAGTCAGCGTAGGGGCGGAAAAAATGGAATAGTCTACTGGTGGCAAATTAGAACCGAATCGGCCCAAGCTTTTGGCAGCGATCGTGTTCACGGATGGACAGACAGACGGACACCATCGACTCGGCTTTCATTGCTTTGCTGTGCCGCTTAATAATCTTAAAATTTTGAATTTACGTTAGAAGTTTAAGATCACGCACAATTTTGATCTTCCACCCAGACGGTTTTCGCTGTTATAAAATACCACTGTTTATAATACATGTAATTTAAATCAAAGAAAATGAATAATCCCTTGTCAGCAATTGTGACTAAATTACCCTTAACGGAAAATGTTAAGACAAAGAAACAGTTATTATTTATAGGTACTAAGAAGGCCCAGACTAGTCAAATAAATAAATAAAATGTCGCAGAAAGGCGAATATATTTTAGAAAAATTCGAACCTTCAGGTCTTCATGCCAAAGATTCAAAGCTCCAGACAATTCACATTCGTTCCCTTCACTAACAGGAAGGCAAAACCGAAACCCAGAAATACTAGAAAATCACAGCTGTCCCTGTACATACATATTAGGTAGGTATACTATAAAGATCTAAATCGTACGCCAATATCTTCCGAGTACGAACTCTAATAACATATTGCTTTGTTACGGGATGCTCAAGGCTTGATGTATATATCTTATTGTTTATACGATAAGGTTAATGCCAGTGGTATTTCCCGACCTTAAAATTTGATCATGAAATTACACCTTCCGTCTGATTGTTTGCGAAATTGTAGAACGTTACACAACCCAGATGGCCATGCCATCCCAATCCTCAAGTTTAAAATGATTCAATACTATTTTATATAGCAGCCTTGTTGGCGTCACGTGATATTAATAAAGTCCTTTCGCACAAATACACAATATTTATCAAGCCCAATTCAGAGAACTTCAACCAAAAATTTCGCATGCGAAAACGACATGTGTAGGTGCACATTTAGGTCACGATCACTCAATCCCACGTAGATCTTGATCCTCGATGTTAAATTTACAAGTAATTCAGGTTCGGTTATTGTTGATATTTTTGCTTTCAATTTATTGCGGGTAATAGCCGTAAAAACCCAAAAATTGCCAATGTCAAGTTTCGCAGAGATTGCTTGAATCTTGACCTAAATGTCGCCTTTTAAGTTTGACCGAATATATTGAATGCAGATTAGCGAACAAATGGGGAAAAAATGTTAAACCCCTCCTTTTAAGTATATGTGATGCAAAAATTATCTCTCCTTGGACGGTGTACCGAAATCTGGGTATAAAACGAGTCCAGTTTTTTAAGTGGTGTATAGTTTGTTGAATAGTTCAGTCTAGTTAAAATTGAACATGTCTATTAAGGTAAGATATTCACTGAATCTTTGCAAAATGAGCATGCGTCTTTTTAGGTATTCCTATTGGCTCTAGTGTTGGTGGCGGTTTACGCGGAAGATGACAGGAAGAAAGGGTTTGGTTTGTTAGGGCACCATCATCATGGTGGATATGGCGGATATGGGCATGGCGGTTATGGACACGGCGGTTATGGCCACGGAGGTTTCGGGCACGGTGGTTATGGAGGTCACGGACACGGGGGTTATGGAGGTTACGGACACGGGGGTTATGGTGGATACGGTGGCTATGGCCAAGGGGGATATGGTGGATTTGGGCATGGAGGATATGGTGGATACGGACACGGAGGTTATGGAGGTCATGGAGGTTTCGGTCAAGGATCATATGGTGGTTACGGACATGGAGGTTACGGTGGTTATAAGCCCCACGGTGGTTTCTATGGATAAATTAAGATGCAAAATCAACCTTTGTTGTTACCTAGTCTCTAATTGTTACATACTTCCTCTTGACCATTTATTGTTAATCATATCACCATAAATTAAATTATATATTTTCATTCTTCAACGACTTAATTGATTTAAGGAGGCATAGGTAAAATTCAATGGTCCAGTTAACCAACTCATGAAAGGAAACTTCACAATCCTAAATGGATTGGTATTTTAGAAAAAAATATTCCTAAATTCTTGAAAGTTGATACATAAACTCTAGTCATTCACTGCGTGGCCAAAAAATCCTCGTTTATGTTCAGGCGTACACCAAGCGCTATTGTAAAGGTAAGGTAAAAGGTGCCATTGCCATTCGGCTGGCTCATTACGTTACAGAGTAAAGAGGTTCCCATAAGAAATTTTTAATTCATGAGCAGACCTTTGTAAGAATAAAAAAAAATCAATTTTAAGTGAAATTCAGGTTGAGAGGCTGTATGAATTAAGTTAAGGTGGTCAGTTTTGCAAGGGTTAATTGTCAGCGGGCTCCAAAATGGCGGACGAGTCAGCTGTGGAATACAGTGTGTCCCAGATTGCGTGGGATTGCATGGCTAACTTTCTTATTATTAAAGATAGAGATAGAGATTTAGATGCTTATGTAAAATTTCCTTGTGGAAAAAAAATAAAAAAGCCGCATAGGTTCGAAGTAAATTCAAAAAAACTAAAATTAGTCATTTCCTAGAATGTCGTTTTTATATTTTAATCAAATAGGCTGTGATGAATTTAAAAAAAACAAAACAAACCCATTCGAGGCAACAAAACAATCCGTCGAAGTTAAAAAAGAGTTAAGGTTTCAAGAACATTCAACCAAACAAATATTACTCATAACAAGTTCAAGTTTTTTTGTCGATTGTAACATCAGCGAGCTTTCGTAATGTTTCGTAGTTTGCAAGTTAATTTTTGAAAAATTATTATTGTAGCCTAAGTGGAAAAAGGGTACGGAGTTAAAAAAGCGTCTTACATGAAGTTAGCTAAAGAATGCCAATTCCCTAAAAATTAATGTTCGTTATATTTACGCCAAGGGATATTTGTCTATTCCATTGTGGAAGTTCAAAAATCTCGTAATCGTGCAGGTTCCATTCAGTAAAAGACACAGTCCGCTATTATAAACAAACGCGTTCCTAAGCGATTTCCTAGGGAAACTTTACCGCGTATTGCAGTGCAGTGATATCCATTCAAAAGAGAGGTGAAATTAGTTCATGTTCCGCCCAAAATGACAACATAGAAAGCCTGTATTGTAAAATCAAATAATACTAAAGTTCATTATTAGTGCCGCTAACGCACAAGGCAGTTTGGTGAAAAGCTTACCTAGATTTCCTCAAAGTTAAATCAAACCTTATTCAAAATCAAGTTAATCTGAGTGTGTATGCAAAACACACTTTTTGGACCAAATCGCATTAACCGGCAACTGAATCAACATCTACAGCAAGCCAATCAATCTTCAAAGTCCAAACCGAGAGGATGTTCCAAACCGGCGAGTTTAAGTATGCAGCCCTTTAGAAACTATCTGATATCTACCCCAGATGGACCAGTAAAAAGGTTAGAAGTAAGAATTCAACATCGAAGAAAAATTGTAAATAAAAAGGTTAGTCGTATTTATGAATGTTGTCAAATTTAAGATCCGTTGTCAAAGGTAAATATTGATCCTAGTAACATTTTAAAGAAGAGATCTTAAAGGAGTCGAAAAAAGTGTAATATTTTGTATTTTTAATGTGTGTTATAATCATGATGATATATATGATGATATTCTCGTCCACTTGCCTGAATTTCTTCATTAGTTCTGATCTCAGACTATTTCCCTAAATAAAGCGCGTTATTTTACACTCTATTGACTATTTTTTTTAAACAACGATACAAAGTTCTAACCGACATTCCCAGGGAATTATTCTATTAGCATTAGCTTATTAATCCTTTTACATAAGATTCATTTTGGAAATCGACCGTTCGACTTAGGCCTAAATTTTCATCGTTTCTTATTTCAAAATAAACACAACTGTTCTGAAACTTTCATCAAAATTGATCCAAGTACACTGGGTGCTCAGATACTTATGGCGGGCAGTATACGTATATTAAAGTAGCATACCATCACGTATAACGATTTTAGTTTTAAATTTATCTTAAATTCTGCTTCATGAAACTTATGTATCATCACGAATCCTGACTAATCTCACATTTTTAAATAAATAAGTCGCTGAGCGAAATGTGACCAAGTTATAAATTTGTTTAAAAATGAAGAGAACACTTTGGCTACTCTCAGTCTGTACTTCAGCATACGCTCTTTCGGTAATTACTTATGATTTTTACTTGCTGATTTCTACACGCTTTCTTGTAGATAGTTCCCCAAGAATTTAGAGCTGCTTGGGTGATAGTCGCGGAACCACATCGTGTTGATTGCGAATGTAAGACGAAGGTATCACCAGATCTATCCGAAAGAGCTCTTTCGTTAGCGGAAATGCCAGGGGATTCGTGCCTAAAATGTTACTTGTTGTGTATTTGCGAAAAATTAAACCTCATAAATCCGGCAACGTTTGAGTTTAACGTAGACGAAATTGTACGTACTGTGGCTGGGATGGACGAATTTATAGCATCAAACTGCGTAAACGCAAGCAGCACAAAGGACCCCTGCGAAAAAGTCTATCAAGCTATACTCTGCAGTATATATTCGCTGCTTGTGCCCTACACGTGGTAGGTAAATTGATCTGACTAGGTGCAGTAAGAATTCGATAAATTTAAGAAAGATTCTTCGCCGCTTTATCATTATAAGCATCATACTAGAAAAGTTAATATTAATGCTAGATTATGAGAGTTGTGGCACTTAGGAATCGGTTACAAATAAAAAAAAACGGATTGCGCATGTGCAAAACAAATTTTTTGATTCGACATTAGTTTCAAGTTTATTTGAGGTACACTACATACAAAATTTCATTTAAATATCTTAACAAAGGAAAATTGGATCTCGCAAATACAAAAGTTATCGTGGACAACGCACAACTGCACACGGACAGACAGGTGGATAGTCGGACAGACAGCAATACAAAATTATTAACGTTAATAAACGGCAAAAATGTAAAATTATGGTACATGAAAAACATAGATTTTTACCATAACTTTTTTCTTAAGCGACACAGAAAAAAATCCTTCCTTGATGCAAGCCCCAACACCATAACGAACCAAATAGCAAAAAAAGTAAAACAATAGCTTTTAAGAACTAGTAGCGACCGAACGGGCGGACAGACGGACGGCCAGACAGACGGACGGGCGGATAATTTTTGTAGAAATGCGCTAAAAATTAGATTGCGCATGCGCAAAACAATTTTTATAAATAAGCATTAATTTTTCTTTTAACTAAGAACATGTGTACCAAATTTCAAAGCGATCGGACATTTTAAGCAAAGTTATTGTTCACACGGACAGATAGATGGACAGACAGACAAAGGAACAGACAGACTACAGACAACAATACAAAATTATAAACTATCTCTAGGATCGTTAATAAAGTGTAAAATTATGGAAAATGTAAAAAATGGTTTTTTGTTTTTTTTTACAATAACTTTTTTAGCAATAACCGCAGAAAAAATTCCTTCCTTGGTCCAAGCCTCGACACCGTAACGAACTTGGCCACCTTACAACTGCAAGTTCGAGAAATCTCTCTACCATCCCTCGTATCAGTCCACCTTAAGATTGTTTGTCTGGTTTTCTGTGATTTTATGCCCCCGAAATAGGCAACACTTCTAACAAATTCGTGTACATTCGGTTGCGTCCTTCATCGTGAAATTTAAACTTCAGTAAACTTTAAGATTTGTCAATAAAAGTAAACGATGTAGGATTTTCTTATAGAATGAGGCCTGTAGATCCTATAATTTCAAACAGTTCCAAGATTGGGCTACTAGTTCAAAAGTTACAGCCCTTTGAATTTTCTTTCGACATTGGTTTCTAGTCCATAACTTTTGATTGAGAAGTCTAATCGAAAGAGTACGAATTGTTTTGGATTCTACGCACCAAAATTAATAAGAAAAAGTGTTTTCCCGAGAAATTTTGGTGTAGTCGATTTTTGGTAAAAAAGGAAGGTTATACACTGCCTTTTTTTGAGCCCCGAAAAAAAAATTGTCCCAGATCGACCCGGAAAAAAATTTTCTTATAGAATGTGGCCTGTAGAATCCATAATTTCAAACAGTTCCAAGATTGGGCTACTAGTTCAAAAGTTACAGCCCTTTGAATTTTCTTTCGAAATTGGTTTCTAGTCTATAACTTTTGATTGAGAAGTCTGATCGAAAAAGTACGAATTGTTTTGGAATCTACGCACCAAAATTAATAAGAAAAAGTGTTTTCCCGAGAAATTTTGGTGTAGTCGATTTTTGGTAAAAAAGGAAGGTTATACACTGCCTTTTTTTGAGCCCCGAAAAAAAATTGTCTCAGATCGACCCGGAAAAAAATTTTTCTTATAGAATGTGGCCTGTAGAATCCATAATTTCAAACAGTTCCAAGATTGGGCTACTAGTTCAAAAGTTACAGCCCTTTGAATTTTCTTTCGAAATTAGTTTCTAGTCCATAACTTTTGATTGAGAAATCTAATCGAAAAGTACGAATTGTTTTGGATTCTACGCACCAAAATTAATAAGAAAAAGTGTTTTCCCGAGAAATTTTGGTGTAGTCGATTTTTGGTAAAAAAGGAAGGTTATACACTGCCTTTTTTTGAGCCCCGAAAAAAAATTGTCTCAGATCGACCCGGAAAAAAAATTTTCTTATAGAATGTGGCCTGTAGAATCCATAATTTCAAACAGTTCCAAGATTGGGCTACTAGTTCAAAAGTTACAGCCCTTTGAATTTTCTTTCGAAATTGGTTTCTAGTCTATAACTTTTGATTGAGAAGTCTGATCGAAAAAGTACGAATTGTTTTGGATTCTACGCACCAAAATTAATAAGAAAAAGTGTTTTCCCGAGAAATTTTGGTGTAGTCGATTTTTGGTAAAAAAGGAAGGTTATACACTGCCTTTTTTTGAGGCCCGAAAAAAAAATTGTCTCAGATCGACCCGGAAAAAAATTTTCTTATAGAATGTGGCCTGTAGAATCCATAATTTCAAACAGTTCCAAGATTGGGCCAATAGTTCAAAAGTTACAGCCCTTTGAATTTTCTTTCGAAATTAGTTTCTAGTCTATAACTTTTGATTGAGAAGTCTGATCGAAAAAGTACGAATTGTTTTGGATTCTACGCACCAAAATTAATAAGAAAAAGTGTTTTCCCGAGAAATTTTGGTGTAGTCGATTTTTGGTAAAAAAGGAAGGTTATACACTGCCTTTTTTTGGGACGCGAAAAAAAAATTGTCTCAGATCGACCCGGAAAAAAATTTTTCTTATAGAATGTGGCCTGTAGAATCCATAATTTCAAACAGTTCCAAGATTGGGCTACTAGTTCAAAAGTTACAGCCCTTTGAATTTTCTTTCGAAATTGGTTTCTAGTCTATAACTTTTGATTGAGAAGTCTGATCGAAAAAGTACGAATTGTTTTGGATTCTACGCACCAAAATTAATAAGAAAAAGTGTTTTCCCGAGAAATTTTGGTGCAGTCGATTTTGGTGTAGTCGATTTTTGGTAAAAAAGGAAGGTTATACACTGCCTTTTTTTGAGCCCCCGAAAAAAAAATTGTCTCAGATCGACCCGGAAAAAAAATTTTCTTATAGAATGTGGCCTGTAGAATCCATAATTTCAAACAGTTCCAAGATTGGGCTACTAGTTCAAAAGTTACAGCCCTTTGAATTTTTTTTCGAAATTGGTTTCTAGTCTATAACTTTTGATTGAGAAGTCTAATCGAAAAAGTACGAATTGTTTTGGATTCTACGCACCAAAATTAATAAGAAAAAGTGTTTTCCCGAGAAATTTTGGTGTAGTCGATTTTTGGTAAAAAAGGAATTTTCTCTTTCGCAAGTTATCATGTGAACATTTTTGGTGACTCTGAGGTGATTTGTGATCAAGTTTATTGATAATTCGAAAACTTTAAGACCTATGGATCGGTTAGAGAGAGCGCGTCGTCCTATTAGGCGGCAGTTGAAGAAGTTGTTTGATGAGATAAATGCTGAAAGCCAAAATGCGATTCCGGATTTAGATCAGTATGCGTGTGAATACTGAAGGATGCTCATTGGTAACTGCAAACATTGGACGGTAAAATCAAAAACCGAATTCTCTACGACAATTATCAGCAAAATGAGGAATTTGAGGATATCGCCCAAGAAGAAAAATTGTTTCAAATGGAAAAGAGAGTGTTTGAAGTTCTGATAGATGGAACATGCAAATCCATGACTCAAAGTGAAAAATTGCCTGTATTGGGTAATCAAAGCAATTATAAACTGCCAATACTTAATTACACAAGTTAATGGAGAAGTCAAATAGGAGTTAGGATTTTGGATGAATCTGACAGTGTCAAGTTTCAATGGGCTCATCCCGCCTTCATTTTTTTATTTCTGATCCACAAAGTACATTAAAAATAAAAGGACCCCTGTGTCCTCAATTTTTATTTGCGAGTAAAATAAACCCAAAATAAATTATTGAAAAGCTGTGTTTTTAGTCCGAATTTGAAACGCTTCAGACTAAATACGTCACAAACCTACAACCAATCACGTAGAAGTGAGCTGGCAACCTTACGCGAGGGTCTGACGTTTGTCACATTTGACGTTTTGAGAGGGATGTTCTAGCACGAAAGTGACAAGTGCCTGTGACAGATGACGCAAGTTATAAATGCCATTCTCCTGCAATATTGCCAAGTCGTTATGTCATCTGAATGGTTCTAGGAGCTGATTGGTCGGGCTTATTACGTCACAGAGCCCGCCACAATCATATCGTTTTGAATAAACCTTTAAAACCGCATATGTTCATTATTTTCTTGCTAATCAGCCTCTATTTTTAAATAAACTTTTACTGTCCAAAAAAATGTTTTATGATTTCAGGTACACGCTTATTAAATTAGAACTGCGGAATTCAACTATACTGTAAACCCCCATTACTGGTACATATGATGGTAAATGGGTTGGACCGAAAGCTACACTAATAGCCTACTGATGGGTATCATTTTGCACCGGAAGTCCGATTGCAAATACTTACAATTTCGTCTGTTTTCTATTAAATGGAAAATTGCAACCAGAAAACTGTATCATAAAAATCATTAAAAATAAATGCCTGCAACTATTGATCACTATTGATTTTACCTCTTTATTCCCCTGGTTTACTCAAGAGGTCTCCTTCTTTTATCTAAAATTGTCCTATATAGGTAAAAAGGGGTTTTTTGACTGTAAATCTAACCCAGAAATTAATTTGTTTAGTATAAAAAGTGTAAAGGAAAAATTTGTGCTTACATAGGCAAACGAAGTGAAAACAAATGAAATATATAGCTCCATTATTTTAATATTGGGGGGCTAAAATCGTGAACTTGGCTCTCCCAAATTTGTTTTTCCAAAATCTCTTTTCAGCGAAATGTGCAAACAAAAAATCGAAGTGTGCCTACATGTGCAAACAAGCGAAATAATCGAGTAAATAATGGCGTTCCATCAATTTAATGTTTGGGGGGGGGGGCTAAAATCGTGAAGTTGGAACTTTGTTTTTTAATTCTTTTTTTAGAGAAATGTGCAAACGAAAAATCGATGTGTGCCTAAATGTGCAATCAATGTGCAAACGAAGCAAGTATTTGACGTTTAATTATTGTAATGTTGGGGGTTGGAGGGTTAACTTCACGCTAGATACGTTTAATATTAAGTTTGAGACAGTTGATACATAATGAGAGAAGCATAGGTCTTATTTACGCTTGCATTACAGAAGGCAATTTATTTTTTAAAGACCTGTATCTATTTGCAAAACAAACACACAAATTATAACCGCACATAATAATCGGGTTAACTTCATTTAGGTACCTATACCTAAAACATCCCCAGGTCCCAGGAAGTTAATTTCTTATAGAACATAATAACAAGTGTATTTTTCTTGTTTTGGATTTGCATAATAGCTTTGCGTGCAAGCCTGCGAAAAAGCTACTGAAATACATTACCTATTAGAGTGTTTGTATAGGCACAGGTGCCCATCATTGCGTTCCGGAAATAATATCGTCACCTGTCACCATAAGATGATTTTTTTCCAAGGTAAGTATGTATATCATACCTTTTAAAGTAAAACCAGACCACTTTTTTTCGGATAAGGTTACTTTTATTCCCATTAATTACCCCCCTACTATTTTTATCTCAATGCACCGACATTCCTTCTTGATCAGTATGGTATTCTGAAGGTTTACTACGTTAACTTTACGATTTCTAAAGGAGGTTTATGTAAATTTTCAATTTCATCACAAAAACGAGCACATGAATAATGAACTAAACGTACGGATTTCATTTCATTTATAAATAGGAAAATGTACAAAAATTTACACAATAAATACAATTTGTTAACCTAAATCACCAGCCATAACCATGACCTCCGTAGCCTCCCCATCCTCCGCCGTAGCCACCGCCATAACCCCATCCACCACCGTATCCTCCGTGTCCGTATCCATGCCCATACCCTCCGTAACCACCAGATCCGTACTTAAGCTTTCCGACTGCTAATCCACCCAAAAATCCAATCTTTTTGCCGAGCAAAAATCCTACAACTGGATCGGCTGCCGCGTACGCCGCCAACACACTCAATATTAAAAACACCTAAAAATAATTTCGATTATTTAGGTACCTTAAAAGGAAAATTCGCATGAACTTACTTTGACAGCCACCATCTTAAGCCACAATTTCGTAATTTCGAATCACTCGCTTCAAAAACTACACTCCTCGATTTATATACGTTTAAAAAAAGGAGGGGCAAGGACAATGCCAAGATCCATATAATTTCTTTTCGACCGAAAAAGTTTACGTCCTTATATATAAATTAGAGGAGTAATGATAAATTGGAACCGCACCTGTTTATAGTATGATTAATGAAAGGAGTATTTGACTAAACAATTTTCCGTTTGTAACTTGTTTAAATATGCTCATCACACGACACTATTGGCTAAGACTTTTCTTAAGGCAATCATCTGGGTATGGTATACAATTCTTACGAAAGAGAATCTTTAATTTTAAAGACGTAAACTTATGCAAATATTTGGACAAGGGGAAAAAATGGGAATTTACCATTAGGATCCGGCATACATTAACCGAATGTTAACCCCATAGAAACAACAATGGGAATTCCTCAATGAAGCCTTATTGTGACGATACCAACAATTTACTTGGTATGCGAGGAAAATTAGCATTACGATTGAAGCAATCTGACGCGATTGTAATCCGTACCTGAGAAACATCACTTGACTACCTTACCTACAGTAATATTATGTGTATTCTCACGCACTAACCCAGATATTCCTTGCATTTAACATTTTCCACTATCAGATTGTAATCTAGATCTAGTTAGCCACAGTCTTTCCAAAGTACTAGGAATAAATATATCAACAAAAAGGCCAGTGCCAAAGTAAAGCGCATTGTTATTATTTATATTATTAATCAATTAGAATATTAGCAATAATCCTGCAACTGAAATACAAGCTTCTCTACTGTGTCGTAGTTCACAATTTCGACTTTTGTTGTAAATAACAATAAATTTGTCGAAATGCTATGTGACTTATTTTAAATCGTTGGTATAACGTTTAGTATTCTCAACGTTTCATAAAGTTACAGTTTTGAGGTAAAATTATTGTAAAATTATAATATTCTTATGTAGATACTTGTACTTAAACGAGAATTTATTTGAAATTTGGGAAACATCACACCCTTGCTTCTAAATCCCTCCACAAATTATTAGGTAGTATGTTCCACATTACGCACAAAATTAAAACAAGTATAAATTGTGCACAACTCTTTTGCAGATAAAGGGCATTTTTTTAAAACCGAAATAGCTTAGTAAATGGTTGCGTTATAAGGTTTTCGATATATTCGCTCGTAAAGTTCTGACATCACCAATAGATGTATTTCTCCCAGACGTCCCAATCGCCCTTGGTGAATACCACCCTCCGACAATCTGTTCTTGAGATATAAGGAATTATTTATATCCGATCAGGATAGGAAGTCGAGGAGGTGGCTATAGTTTATAGAAATTAATTCCTTTCGTTGAGACCTTTCATTAGAGTACTATGAAGGAACCCCCCCCCTCTCCCAATCCCCCCTCCCCTATCACCTATTGATTTCGGAAAGAAGTCGCGCAGAAAAGTTATACTTTATACAAACCAATTCGGCGAGACCTTTCACTAGAATACCATGAAGGGTAGAACACGTGTTAACCCCCCCCCCCCATCTAAATACCGGGCACCTAATGATTTTTTATTTAATTAATGTATAGTATTCTGTTTATTAATCTAATTCTTAAAGTCTTTTTTGAGTTTGAGTTTTATGGCCGTCGAAAGTCTTGAAAAAGTTTCCAGGACCGCTGCAATTTTTCAAAGTTAGCAATCCAATCAAAAAATGTCAAAAAATGAATGTAGATTTAAATTTTAGGGCCACCTTTATTACCATTCTGTGTGCCTATATCCGGTAGTTACTGAGTTATTGGCATTTCTTGACCAATTTCAAAATTCCAGAACTCTAGGGCTCTAGCAATTCCTGTAAAAGAAGTTCAAAACCGCAAAAGTGGTTCGGACAAACGGACGGACGGACAAAACGCAAACAATAGCACATTTTTTTAATCCATAAAAATGCGCTAAAAAATAGAAAATTGTATGTTTCTGTTCCAAACAAGATGGCGCCACTTCCGGGATTTACGGAAGCGGCGCCATCTTGAAATTATTTTTTTTCAATTCGCAATTGTCAATTATGGCTCTAAACCTAATTTCAAGTTACTATTTCAAGCGTAAATTTAAGAACTTCTAACGAACGGGCTACGTGAATCTCCCTGTATATTAATTCGATGTTTTATTAAATGTTCAACTCAAAGTAGTGCTTGGAAGGTTACTAGGAACATCTCCAATAAACCAATACTCGGTTTATGAGAACCCTGTAATATTCAAAGAAATTGCTGCATATTTAAAGGGCTCTTTATAGAGACAACTATTTTACAATATACAGGGTGTTCATTTGAAAACTTCCCACCACGGATTTATCGAAAACCACTGATTAAAGGAAAAAACGTTGAGACACATCAAAAGACTTGTCAAAGGGGATAACTTTTTTACCAAAAACTACTTCACCCTCTGCCCCCCAGAGTTATTCCCTTAAAAATTTGTATCGAGTGGTATCGAGTAATGGCTTGTTTGAAAGGTCTTTCGAACTCCTTTATTTTGACGTTTGATTTTTTAAAATCGTTCGATTCGTTTTCGAGAAAATTAGAATAACTTCCACTCTTTCGACTAGTGTGTATATCATTTTGGAGTAAAATCTGAATCAATAAATCAATTTTTACTATCCCAAGATTGTCACAAAGATAACTGACAGCAAATTAAATTCTTTTTACCCATAGCAACAAATAAGTGATATTTTCGTTTGTTTTTGTTTCTATCTTAACAAATTAAGATATATGTCGATTAAATAAATGACATAAAGATTTTTCTAATTTTCTCTTAAACGAATCGACCGATTTTAAAAAATCAAACGTCAAAATAAAGGAATTCGAAAGACCTTTCAAACAAGCTATTACTCAATACCACTTGTCATTTAATTGATCGGATCTTCAATTGGCAGGATCGCTATGTAAAAGGATTTCAGTACCGAAAACAATTTCTTTCAATCGACCTTTATTTTACATTCTAATTTAATTACGCCTACTTTTAGAACGCCAAGTTTAAGTGCCTCCTTATGTTAATCAGCAGAATTTGTACTTGGTTATTTTTTGATGAATCGAACTAATTTTTGCTACTTCTATAGCCTCCTATCCTATATTTTCTACTTTGAAGGAATTATTATATATTTTCTCTTGCTATTTCTTATAGGAGAACCGAGTTTCATGGCCAATTGCACCGTCAAAATTAAGTATCCCGTAAAGTTAAGCATAACTTAAATACCATAGCAACAATTGTCTTAATAATCGTTGCCATAGATTTTAAGTTCGACTTAACTTTAAGCAAGGTTTAAATTTGTTGGTGCAACTGGGCATTAGAATTATCCGGAAATGCACGTGGAATCCAGCCGTCTTCCTTTATTTTCTGTTTTGAAAAATATTATAGAAATCTTCTTGGGAAGTTTTTTTAAAAGCCTGCTTAGAAATCTTCTTCAAACCTTTTTTAGTAATTTTAAAAATATTCTAGCAGCCTCCTTCAAAACCGTCTTCTAGAGAAGAAGAGAGAAGAATTTTCCTAGGAAACCGCAATCTTCCCTCAAACCTTCAAAACTATCCTAAAATTTATTGGAAAATTTCTACTAACGCGGAACTCGGACTAAACAAAATTCAACGTCTAGCTAGGACTTACTCAAAAAGCACCTTCAAAATAGTCTACGAAAATCTAGAGAGTTCGTTGTAAAACTTTTTTAAAATCTTCTTGGAAGACTTTTTGTAATTTTTCGAAGTAGTTCCACAACTCTTTTACAAACAAAATGTTTGCAAAAATCGAGTAGATTCAACTTGCTAATACTGGAAACTGAAAACAGTGAATTCTTTAACCGCAATTTTACGGGCAGAAAACTGATGGTTCAACTGATAAAGGTCCCTAAACTATGATCATAAGTAAAAGCATGCAAATAATGCTTCTTAGGGGAATTTTTCGAAGGAAAAAAAATTCCCTTTATGTGATGGTTTTGTCCGTCTGTCTGTTCCCCGTCTAACTCGAGAACGATATATGACAGCGATGTCAAACATTCGCCAATCGATTTCTACGAGTTCAAGGATTAGTGCTATTGAATATGAGCCGGATCAAAAGTCTGGTTTCCGAATACGAGCCGAGTGCCAATACCCTACTGAAAATAGTATACGATTCTTCGTGTCTCGTTTTAGTGTTACGAATTTCAATGCATTTTTCTTTAACTTTATAAAGAATTTCGTTAACACAGAGCTTAATCTATACATAAAAGGTGAAAATTAATCGAACAGACTGATTAAAGGAGCAAAACTTGGTTTTAAAGTTCATCGCGAAGGTTTTCAAGAAATTTTAGAACAAACAACTTCAGGTAGGTAGGTAATTGGTCCTCTCAGTGTGGTACTAGAACTACCTACGCCAAGTGTTATATGTTATCGCCAAACATCATCATTATTCAATGCGACAAGTGGCATCTCCTATGAGCTACTAATGACCGATAATAGGTAAAATAAATTCGTTCAAAACTTTGCACCAATTATGCTAATTAAATAGTAACCTTAACCTTATTTTCTTCTACTCAACATCAGATACCAGTTCTTCGCAAAAAAAACTCTCGAAGCGATTCATTACGGATCCTGTGTTTAATTCGACCAAGAGAATTCCTCATTGACCCAATAAGTAGTACAAGTTCGCCGTGGGCCACACAAAATCAAAGAGGAAAATCTGTGGTACGTAAGGTATGTCGACCTCATCGAAGAGGACACTGTTTAGTAGTTGCATGAATATTCCTAAATATTCATGAAACTACATCTACTAATTACGTATTCAAATGAAAACAATTAAAACATCACGGAATTGAACGTTACTATGGCAGATTTGTAAGTAATCGCAAAAATGACACAACCTTTATGTAACCTATGTTAATTTGTAAATTTTTATACCATTTAGCAATAAATCGTTTTATTTATAGGCGAGTTTGCTTATGAATTACGATCGAGGCTGAAATTACACCTATAGTAGGTTGGAATCAGAAACATTGAAGCGTACATAAGACAATTAGAATATAATCCTACCCCATCATACGAAGGATTTATTAAAATTAACTTTTAAAAATGACGACTTTCCCCACGTAAAAATAATATTACCCTTTTAAATAGAAATACCTGTATGAAATATGTAACCTTGATCTTTATATATATTCAAAGCATTAGCTCAATGTGAATAGTTTTCTCTATGACCCACAGTGTTAATG